AGAATGCATGCTTGTGTTTTATATGTGGCAATATAACAAATAAAATGGTCCTGCCGTTGGATAAATCATTCATATCTTTTGGAGGATATCTTCCTCTGCTCTGCTGCTTCGGCTCTCAAAAACCTCGCGACATCACTACTAGCGCTGATAGGCCCGCTTATAGCTCTTTTCTGCTTCGGGTTGCCGAAGAGACACTGCCAGAGATCGTCTTTCTTGACTAGCTCGCCTCCAAACGCACCACCTTCCATCAACTTTGCCAACGGTGCGTCTTGCATCTCCAGAGAGTTCGCGGAGTCGATAGCCACCTCGGTAATGTTTTCAATAACAGCTCCATTGGCCCCTTTATCCACCGACACAGCTGAATTAGCATTTTGTTCCCGTTCTTTCTGGATAATATGATCTAAGCGACGAGAGACTGAGATGTCGTAAATTGATTCTTCAACGGTATCAGAGACAAGGTACATCCAGACAGTGGTTGGTCGATGTTGGCCAATACGATGTACTCGCGCAATAGCCTGTAGTTCAATTGCTGTGTTTATGAGAGGCTCGCAGAGGAAGACGTGGGTTGCATTGACCAAGTTAAGGCCTGATGAATGCGCCTTTGCATGCAGAAGAAAGCATTCAATCTACATTATTGTCTTAGCCTTGTTAATAGTCTAAGAAAAAGAAGGGCCAATAGTTTACCGCAGGGTCCTTTTTGAATCTTTCTATCCCGTCAGATTCGTCAACACTACTGTATCCGATCTTGAAACGCCTAAATGCATTTCCAAGATAGTCCAAAAAGCTCTTGTATTGGGAAAATACAATGGACTGAGCGCCAGGGTCGTGCTCCCGTAGCCACAAAATATGGCGAGCTAGCGTGTCAATTTTGGTGCCGAAAGAGTCTTTTAGGTCGATATTCTTGATTTCGTGCAGAGTCCCAGAGCCGATATTTGTGTAGATAGAATTATTCGAGTGTCCCTCGAGCTGGATATTTGGTGTCGACTTCTCTTCCTGGACCAGAAACTCTTGGGGTTTATAAGTGATCTGGTAAAAGTCGTTGGCTTTTAAACGCTTCTTGCAAACTGGACAAGTGCGGTGCTGGCGCCACCACAAGCGTAAACAATCTTTGCAATACTTGTGACCGCAGACCGTTAAAACGCCTAATGATATTAGTTTGTGAATTTCCAGGAAGTATGCGTAGGGACATAGGGAAAGTGGTACCTACCAATCTCAAAGGAACCCTGACATATAATGCATATTTTTGAGCCCTCGTCTGGGCCCGACTCGTCTCGCAAGTGGATGAGATAACGCCCCTTTGCCTTCAGAGATGATATTTTCTCATCGATTCCCTCTTCTTGCTCGAGTTTCGTGTTGAAAAGCTCGTGATCAAGGGGCTTGCCAGCACTTTCTTCATCATATGGCGCCACCGTATCCGAAATTTGCTGTAGCTGGCGATAGTACTCGAGTCGATGATTCATAGTGTCTCGAAACATTTCTACTTCCTTCTCTAAGTTGGACGCAATCTTTGTTTGTTCGGAAGACATGTGGACAACGTTCTTGAGGACTGACGTGAGGATTTCAAGTTCAGCGCGAGCTCTTGAGCTTCCCCCACTTGCTTGCCATTCAAGTGAGCTTCCAAGGCTGCGAAGCTCAGTGATGATCCCCCGAAGGGAACCAAGGTCTGGACCAGGCTTCAATTCACTTCGTTTCCCCATAACCTCAATGTATAATTTCGGAGAAGGACCCTCTCCCTTTTGTGCTTGGGATATCGCTCCCTTTACTTCATGGGCAATGAGAACATTCTTTTGTCCTGTCAAAGCATCGTGGCGATCGGCAAATAATGCACGAAGTGCTTCCATGTAGACATACATTTCATCTTGGTTCTTAGTGGACTTCTCATACTCGTCGCCCTCGAGTTCAGATTCGTCCTCTTGGTCAATGAGTGCTTGTGAAAGTAGTTCGACCATCTTTTGGCGCCACGCATTGTATTGGACAGCATGCTCATTCATTATATCGCAGAATTCCTCGAGTCGTTCAAACACCTGGCGAGATTCAAGGCCTTTACTGTAGAACTGAGGTTTCATTCTCAATATTGCCACGAATTCTCCCTTCGCAGATTTCTCTTTGACCCTTTTTACGTAGCGCTTGGCTTTCTGGGAGATCTCAGTTAGCATTTCTTGTCGAATTAATTTAGCTTTAGCGTAAGCTTCTTCTTCCAGTTTTGCCAGCTTCTGGAACTCCTCGGAATCTGGCTTCGTAAGCTCGGGATCAGATTTTATCTGATAATATGCGTTTCCAGTGAAGAAGATGGAAATGTGTTCAACTTCTAGCGCGGCACGTAATCTTTGACGGAATCCATGAAGTCTGGTGTTTTTCTCAACCTCTTCGCCTTCATCGTCGCTCACTGACTCATCCCGTGCTCCATTAGTGGGAGGGGTTGGCTGCTTATTTCTTTCTAATTGTAGCCTTTCCCGGCACTGCTGGACGATTTGGCTAGCGTGGTCCAAGGATGTCTTCCAAAGATCGAGAGCCTCATGCTTGCGTTTAGCATTTTCGAGTAGCTGGCCACGCCGAAGTTGTGAAAGTAGAAGAGCGCGCTCCTCTGCGTGTACAAGCGCGTCGTTTTGATCAATCATCACCTCCAAAACCTCATTCACAGATCGCAGAGGGCCGTTGACAGTAGCAAATCCCCTGCGACGGTTCCCCGCTGTATAGAGACATGATTGCCGAAGCCGAACAAGCCAGCTTCGCATTCTTTCTATAACCGAGGGATCGTTCGGGTCCCAATAGTCACTCTTGGGGGATCCCGAGATATCGAGCCCGCAGTCTTCGCACATTTCCTCGTACAGCTGTCTATAGCTTTGCTCTTCCACCGCGGTAAAGGGGACTGTAATAACAACACGCTTTTGAGGTGGTAAATGCAACTCCTTTCGAACGAGATCTTTGCTGTGTCTCAAAGTAATCGTATTCACGATCCGTGCCAAAACGGGCTTAGACTCCACACATAGCCTTTTCCAAATGGGACCACAAAATGGTTCGTATTGAAGAAAAAGTAAAAGACCGAGTAGGTCGGTGATATCCTTTCGAAGGGGCGTTCCGGTCACGGCCCATGCAATCTGACGAGGAATGAGTCTGGCAACCTTTGCAGCATTACTGACACCACTCTCGATCATTTGGGCTTCATCTAAGCATACCCGCCACCAGGAAATTTTCACCAGTGGCGATTTTCTGGGTTCGAATCTTTTCTCATGCCGGAGGTTTCTTTTAGGAGCGGTTCCAGCATAGTGTATTTCGCGCGCAAGTACATTGTATGTTGTAAGTACAACATCATTATCAGCCATGAGCTCAACTAGCTCCTGGTCTGATAATGCTTGATGCCGTTGGATGCCTGTGTAATGGAAAAGCTGTAGCCTCGGAGCATGTAGTTCAATCTCCTGTTTCCACTGCTCCAGAATCACGGGTGGAGTTATGATCAAGGTAGCCCCAGATGGTCTCAGACTGTCAGTTCCAACTCCAGCGAATGTTTGTTCGGGACGCAGTACCCTGCGATTCAAGCACATTAAAGTGATCATCTCAACGGTTTTCCCTAGCCCCATTTCCTCAGCCAGTATTCCACCCTTAAGGTGATAGTTCACATTGTACCATTTAGAAAGGTCTCTTGTGACAATCATATATAGATGGCTAGCATAGCAAGTCTCCCCATCGGCGTCGGTAAACTGTTGGAAAGATTCCGGCAGGTCATTTTCCGATGCATTGTTGAATGGTACCACCTTCCCTTCGGAACTAAGCGTCTTGCCTTCTCTGTTTAGAAGCCATCGCACTGCACGCCGTTGGAACGGGAAAAGCTCGCACTCTACCATGTCGCATTTGACAGGGGCAGAGAGAAACGGAGTATCCGGGGGTACATGGACGTTACTGTAGAAATCCCCCGGAGTCCATCCACTCCCCGCTGCAACCCCGCGTCTGGAATATGGGCCATATTCCCCTTCCTCCCGTAACACGTAACTAGAAAATGCCCTGGAGGCAGACTCAGGCAGCTTCTGGTAGTCTGTAATATCGAGAGAGTCTTTCCATAAGATAACCGTTTCGAGGCTAATTGACGTGCGATTTGAAAGGTACTGGAGAGTAGACTGGTAGCACACGGTTGGCAGTCTAGCTGTGTGGCAGCGGTCCGCACATATAAGTCCGCTCGCGACCGCCAAATGTTTGCCAAGGTTAACAATATCAGAATCATTGAACGAGTCGATAAAGACGGTTTCACGCTCTTGAATCGTCTCTAGCTCTATTACCACATAGTCCTTATAAGCTTCGGTCTCGAACGGGCCCGGTCTAGTGATTTTAATAATGACAGGCAAGCCGTCCTCGGTGACAACAGTGTCGCCCCACTGGCCGAGAGAGGGGTCTTCATGAGAAAATTCCTAAAGAGCCATTAATCGATGTCCCACTTGTTCAACGCTCGATAATGCCATACCACTTGCAAATAGCATCGTACAAGAGGAATATAACCGTTTGGAATATTCGACGTGGACATGCCATTTGTCTCCCGTAAACTACGAGCCCTGGAGGCAAGTTTGCGACGTTTATTAAGAGGGCCATCGCTTTGAACTTTCCTATGGCGCATGAAGGCATGCGCCAAAGTATCAGGAAGCGCACCTAGAAGCAAGATGACATCAGTAACATGTTTCTGTAACTACCTGCGTGGTATAGGCAGTACCTTTATAGAAAGCCGCCGCCCGCACCGCAGCCATCCTGTAATTTTCCAATGGACCCTCGAGGCCGTCCTGGGGGAGAAAGGATGAAGCACCGGGGGCCCCGTGCCTTTAATATTATCGATAAGATCACGTGTTGATAAGCCAAGGCTCAAGAATCCATAAAATAGGAATAGATTAAGCTTGGTCGACCCACATCCACCGAGTAGACATTGGCATTGGCCCACATAGGTAGCTTTGAACATGTACCAACGCCGACAGAACCTCCCGTAATCCATATGTATTGCCTGACCATTAACTACAATTATCTCAATCTTCTATGCGATTTCCCTTATCTGACACAATACTGCCATTGATGGCATGTACAAACCGTTGATATACCACTCCTCCGGCGTCACTTTCAAATATATCACTGGTGTCGCCGAATGACGTAGAGTTCCTGTTGCCTGCGGCCGACCGATAGGATGATTTGCCCCATTGGGCAGTATGTAAATGCAATGGTCCGGAAGTCAGCGTGTAAGTGGAAATGCCGGGCATCCCACTTGAGTTGATTTCGAGTCCCCTCCTCATCCAGGCATCGATCGCAAGCCCACCATTGATGTCTCGGTAGGCAGTGTTCACAAGCAGTGGATATTCAAAGCTGAGCTCATTAATGCTATTTTCGTCTCCAAAATATCCAGATAAAGCAGACCCCGATGTATGCTGCAGTGTCTTCTGGATTCGGCCCTGCTGATTAAACAACCCAGTATTGGAGAATGAAAGACTTTGCTTCCACAAAAAGCCAGAAGATTTTATCGTGATGTCCCTTTCCGCCACTACCGAGTATTTCAGTGACACATTTCCACCGGTGCTATTTTGTTCGAGCTCCCTTGTAATGGTAAAGGTAGGCGCCGGTGCTATGATTTCGGGCTCTTGGCTGGGGGTGGCATAAATAGGTGGCTGCGCAACAGAATTGTTGGATAGGTAAAGAAAAATATTTCCCGAGACAACCCAGTAGGGGCCAATGATACTGGAGATTGTAGCAGTTCCGTTATCAGAAACATCTAGCCCCACGACCTTGAATTCGAAGGAATGGTAAAAGCCATCTGTAAGGAGAGGCAAGAAAGGCGTGATATCGATTTCGGGCGCCCTTAAATCAAATGCATCGGTTCCAACTATCGGCCGCCAAAATCCGGGAGACACACCTCCAGTAAATATAATTGGGAAAGGCCAAACGACGCCGGCAAGAGTCCCATCGATGTAAAGCTGGATTTCACGGAACGGGGAATATCCGTAGAGCTCATCAAGACCATTGTCAAATGTGTCTGTGTCGGACGAAAATACATTGGACCACCAAAATTCTTCTGTAGATTGTCCACATGCCGAAACTGATACAATAGCACGAGAAACTTGGGGGTTAAGCTTATAAGATACCTTCGCTTCCTGCGAAGGGACATTGAAGGCACTGGATGAGTTGCGCGCCGATTTTTGCGCTGATATTGGAAGAACAATATCTGCAGTCTTGACATTTTCTTCGTGCGAGAAATATGCCATGACTGTCACATTGAAAGAGCCAGTGTAAATATCGTTGACCAAATTTCCTAACTCGAATATGATCTTTTGGTGTTCTTTCCACAACACATTATATTGCGACATATCTTTTATATAAGACCAAACTACACCATTCGTCGTGGGCTCAGCGGTCGATGTTCGGAATATTTCAATGTCGCCGAGGTACATATGTCCTAGTCGGTCAAATTGCCTTCCTCTAGACGTGACAGTAAGATTAACTCGAACTGTATCAAAGCTGCAACTCGGCGGCTTATAAAACCCTAGAAAATCTATATCAGCATCTCTATAGACCCCGTTAGAGCCAAACAACTCACCGACAAACGGATGGCCGTAGCTGAACCCAAATACATGGTTCATCAGCAGAACACTCTCATTGCAAAGCGACTCGTTGAGGGCCTTAGCAGAAAGCGGATGGTACACTTGAGAGACTTCGAGGAGCGCGGAAGACGGCAAGACTAGAAGATAGCACAACCATACGACAGGCCACATAACAAGGAGCATAGCCGTCATCTGAATAATCCACCTTCTCAAGGACTTCGATCTTTTCGCAGATTGTGAATGGCCAGGTGCCTTCAGACTGCTCCCTTTCCCTGATGGCAAGTTCGCACCACCCTTCTCATTTTGGAAATTAACGGTATCACAGAGACAGTTGCTATCAGAAAGCAGCCGCGAGTGGGACCTCCTCTTGTACGATTTCAGTGAGAACCATGCAACAAAACTGGCAACCACTGGGACAACTACCAGTAGATTCCATTCTGGACTGGTGGGGATTTTCGCCATTTGGAAATCGTGGGTAATTTCGTTGGAAGTGACGGTTTGAACCAATCGATAACGGGACACGCCAGGGGCTGTACTTGAAATCGAAGCCATCCTTGCCCCCCTGATATTAGACCAAGTAAGTGGTTTTTGGAGGGTTGCACGCTACATCGGCATGGGCTTTCCCCCCGGTTGTGAAGAGACCCTGTGGGGAGGGGGGGGGGGGTATTGTTTATTTGGGTTGCGAGTTATTTAGTTGGTTTGGCCACAGCACCCTCGGCCTCCAGGATCCAGAATGTTGTCATCAGCGGGTTGTATATGTAGTCTGGAGCTTTAAGCAATGTACTGTAGGCAGGGTCCAGTTGATCAAGTTAAACCCCGCATTTCGCGTCCAGCTCCACTATTTGATCCAAATCGGATCGAAGTTGTGGTATTTTGGGAGTTATTATTTGTTTGTTCTTTTCGTCATACCTAGCTTCTATCGCTTTTGTGATGGACTTCCAAAAAATTTAAAGAGACATCAACTAACACTTGCTTCATGGATAACCCTCACTTAAGGACAAAGGAAAAGGAGTGAAGGGTGCTACAGGATGGCGGTGTATATGACGAAAGAGATGGGATGGAGATATAATACACAGGAGCTGATTCCCAAACAGCAAGCTTGCGATCTCTTGGACAAGCCTAAGCCCCCCGGTCCAACTGCAAATAGCAGCTTACATCAGAAGACGCCAAGCACCAAGAATCAGAGCAGCAGTACCAGTGCAAACACCCCTACAAAACCTTGTTAGCAAATCTAGATGCAGTATAGAAGAGAGAAAAGTTCCATACATGAGCCACTGTAATGTAGAGAATTTCACAGCTTCCACACGCTCCCTCAGGCCTGCAACTTCCTGCTCTATTCTTGTTTCAGTCTCCTTTATGCGCATCTCTTGGCTGTTCGCTTCTTCACGAATACGGCCCTTTTCGAGGTTAAGATCGAGGCGAACAGACGCCTGGGTACGCCCTATCTCATCTCGAAGCCGTGAATTGAGTTTGGCAAGGTCAGCACCTATCTTTTCGTGCGACGAGCGGGTGAGTTGGGCCTCCGTGGAATCTGCGTTCAATAATTCAGAGCGGAGTTTTGCGAAATCAACCTTTTGCGTATAGGCTGATCTTTCTGTGTCTATATGTTGTTTGGAACCGGTCAGCTTCATTTCATGGTGCTTAGACTGAATAATCTTGGTAGTAACCCGAAAAGCACTAAAGCAGATAGCGAGGGCAACTAACCTTCCCTCAGAACCATTGTCCTCGTCAAGTTCTGAATCGATTCCTGAATAACGTCATTGAGGACTCGCATCATTGCGACAGCCTGCTCTTCACTGAATCCCTCATCCTTGAGCCGTTGGACGAATTTGAGAGTATCAAAATGGTGGTCTCGCTCCCGCGGTACAGAAGCATGGAATGCCCGGCGGGCTGGGTTAAATGTTGCGACATACACGCCATTGTGCCGGATCGGGTTTCCGGTAGGTTGTGAGCTGCGACTGCTGGTATTGTAAAAGGTCGAGCGAGTAAAGCGCTTTGCGATCGAAGTTGATGTCCCGCTTTCCCGAGAAATCGTGGAGTATGCCGCCGCCGGATGGTGTGTAAGCGGAGATTTGGGGTGCCGTGTCAAAGCCGTCCAGCTTTGTGTACGCTGCTTTTGCTTCTTTCCTACAGGGAGAGGAGCGGAGTGGGAAGCCGTAAGGCTCGTTCGGGTGGAAGAGCCATTCCACGTTAGGCGGGGGAGGATTGAACGCGGGACCTCCGCAACGGACTTCTGGGGTGGCATGATGATAATGAATTAGAGTCGACAATACATTGGAAATTTCAAGACGCGGCACAAATAGCTCTGTGCCGAGTATGAAGAGGTCGGAGTTCGCAGGTTGATGAGTGATGAGCCTGGAATTCCCCGGATTCTTCCAAGCCTATGTTGCAGATGACTAAGCGTGGCGCTCGCAAGTCCGAGGGAAAGTATCAATGGACGGACTGGACTGACTACCTATCTATGTCTCTATTTGGAATGCCATCATACTCTTTCTCCTTTCTTTCTTTCTTTCTTTCTTCTTCTCCCTCACCCATTGCACCAAATCAGAATGGAAAGAAGAATCTTTGCGGTGTTCAACACCCCTGGCAAGGTATCTTTCAGCGTTAGGTCGTTTGGGGAGCTGCTGCTATAACCCAACTGAGAGATTGCAAGTTCTTTGGAATATTATGATCTGCTATTAATGTATCGAAGCTAAGTGATTATTAAAGAAGCATCCCTTCCGACAGCGCGTCTGCGGCATATTCTCTCTATAGTTGGAACAATTCCTTGAGCTGCTTCAAGCAATCCTCTGGGTCATTAACGGAATGCCCAATTGTTCTGGGGTCGTCATAGATTTCGTAGTCATTGCCTCCAGGGAAGGTCTTGTCACCGAAGAAATGAATTGACTTATATTGGATACCCGAGATATCCTTTTCAGCTTCGACGTGTCTTAGACAGTAGGTCTTGTCCCAGCCAGAGGGGAAAACATCGAACGATATTTGACCTCCAATCGAGTAGCTATTGTGAGTGTCGCATTAGCGATTCCATATCAACATTAGCAGTTCATCGGAGCGATTTACCTGAGGCCGTAATCGGGGAATTCTTTCTTGAGAGCTTCCACAAATGGCTCTCTGATGTTGTGCACTCGATCATACCTACAACCGACGTCAGAGACCGACCGAGAAAAGCACAAACGTCGTAGGAAGCATACTCTTGGAACTCATTCCGCTCGTCAATAGAAGCGTTTCTGCCGATGGGACTAACGTTGATCATTCCGTTGCGGAATTCAAGGAAAGTACCCCGCTTCTTCGGAATGTCCAAGTTCGCAATATATTTGAGAATGAAGTTGGCCAGCTTCTGGTACTTCTCTTCTCCGATCCACTGAATGAAGCTATTACTAGCAAGAGGTTTTCCCAAGCGGTAGGCAGTCAAGCCATTCTCGGCGAAGCAGTAGTCGAAGAGGGTAGTAACGCTCACGCTCGAGGAGCCAAGTTGTTCTTGCTGCTTATTGAAGTCGGATCCGCCAACCTAAACCTTAAATGAGACCGAGGGCCATTTATTATGGGAGAGCCTATAAGACTAACAGAACCAATGGCGCACTTTTGCCGCAATTGCGAGAGGACTTGGAGCATCTCATCTGTGGCATGCTGGGAATTCAGGCCGCGTGTTAGCACTCAGCACGTCAAACAGCATAAGTGCACATATTGCATTGTGTAGACTCACCCTTCTTGCAGGCGTTAATGTGTTATCAACGTCGAAAAGGCAAATTGTGTCTTTCAATGGGCGATTTTCTAAAGCCGGGTAGACACCGGCACCTTCAACAGTAGACATGATGCTGGGTATGGCAAAGGGACCGACAAAGAAATTTTGATCAGGATGGTCTTGCAGGTGGGCAACAAATGGATTTTCTAAGGAATAAGAAATCGAGTTAATTCAGGTTCCTGAAAGAGGGGCATACAAATGCAGGAAAGAATACTGTGTCCTGGCCGCATGCGGTGAGGGGCAGTGAGTGGGGTTCTAGACAAAAACAATCGGCCTAATTTTGGGGCAGAAGGGCGGTCAACACTGAAGAAGTTCGAGCCAGACCAGCGTGGGTCTTTATCGATAACACTTACTGTAGTACGTACTACGTACATAGTATCACGGCCCAAGCCCCATGGCCGATAAGTTAACACGAAATGAATATAAAACCGGAAACAATTATCTTATTCTCATATTATGTCATGGAGTCCGCGAATAGACATAAACTATATAAGGATGAGAGTCAAAAATGTCGGGACAGGACTGGAATATGAGTTATCCTCATTGTCCCATAGTATGCTGGAATACTTTGGCTGCCAGTTGGCTTAGCAGTCGCGCGCGGTCGTTTGCTGGTAGCTCCAAGAAAACCTCGTAGACACTTTTGCCCCGAGCATCCCGCACGGCTCCTAGACGGTTTCCAGCAACGGCACCCGCTATAGCACCTGGTGCGTTGCCCACGATAAACCCAAGTGCTCCTCCGCTTGCTCCTCCAACAATAGACCAAAAATGTGAGTTTGATCCCTCCGTCCCGCTGCCATCCATCCCTTCTTCACGGAGCATCTCCTCGAACACCGACCCGAATTGCTCATTCGATCGTTCCTCACGATCCGCAGATCCAAATCCGAACGACGACCAGAAGCCATTATCGCTACTCGGAATTTCCTCTTCCTCATCTACCTCTTGCTCAAGGTTTCTCCTTGCATCGTATTCGCGTCGACGTGAATCGTCCGAGAGGGTATAGTATGCGTCATTGATTTCCTGGAACCTGCGTGTCCGTGCTGCCTTTTCGGGTGAGCCCTCAGGCACTCGGTCTGGATGGGATTTTAAAGATTCTCTGCGCAGCATTAGGATAACGGTTTATAGGCATTGTATTGCAGGCCTACCTCTTGTAAGCGGTGCGAATCTCTCGTTGGCTGGCACCAGGAGACACGCCCAACGTTTTATCTATCCAAAAGGTGAGAAGTTGCTTTACCACATAGGCCATGGAACTTACAGTAATCGGGAAGTCCTGTTCACAATATGTTAGCCACAGCTGTTCCCCATGTGTTGACTTCTGTGCGACTTACTCGGCATTTCCACTAATTCTTAAAGAACAAAGACAGAAAATTTTTGGTCCAGAACAATATATACTCAGTTTCTGGCAATACCGACGCAATTTATGGGGTGCGATATCTATCGAAAAAAGTGTGAAAGAGTTGAATGAACAAGATCCTGGAAGAGCCAGAGATGCCACGGGTCGGGATGACGTCGGTGGTTTAGTACGTCGTCTGTGTATGGGCCACCAACCAAAGTTCTGCCTCCGGAGGACTCCAGCGGTTGACGCTAGTGACTTATCCCTCATAATATACACATTGCGCATATAAAGATGGGCCCAAATTGCAGACAAATGAATAAATGAATAAAGTAACACTCACCTTTCGCAAGCCATATGACAATCTGCGAGGACGTACACAGGAGGCAAGTTTCTGCCTGAGGCCTGTGACTCGGCACCTCCCAGCCCGGCCCCTGAGGATCACCACCAATCACTGGCGAGGATGGACAGAACTAAAGCTGCCAGCCACCGACTTTGTTGCAGCTGGGGCTCACTCGCCGCTCGGTCTCGCCAAACGATGGACGCTCAACTCTCCTCGAGACCTGTCAGACTTTCTTTTCACCTTCTGCATCACTCCTCCAACAGATTCTCCACGGCGGGTGGATAATTGCACCTCCCAGTTTGTCTATACAAAGTACCCGTTGTACGCTCTCCCGTCGGTATGTTTATTTGCCCCAATTAGACTATGGTTGTCCTGATTGATCCCGTCTAGAAGAAGCGGTGGGGACAGTCAACGCAGCACACAGCCTAAGACTGGTGTTGTGCAGAAAGCGACTCCGCATCCGCTCTATGATTTGAGAAAGCCAGCACAATAATAATCTAATCGACGCAAATATACCGATTGATCGAGACCGTCCACTGGCCTTTTGAGGGGTCACTAATTTGAAGAGCGCTAAGTCGAGCAAGAACAACCAAGATTCCAATTGACGTCCACTGCGCACGTCAAGACTCAACAGGATTTCCCAAATACCTTTGCTGCCTCAATCAACTCGAGTGAAGTCAATATGGGCTGGTTCGATGGCCGATCCTCAACATCTGGCGGTGCTTATGTGCGGAGGCGTTCAGACCGCTCTCCCTCTCGTCGGTCCACCTATTCCACTCACCACAATCGCCATTCCGCTCCGTCAATCTTCGATTTCGGTGGTACCAGCCGTTCAGGGCGCGCAAGCCCGTCTGTGTTCTCTTCCTTCTCTTCCTCGTCGTCGCGAAGGGCTCGGCCGCGCTCCGGGTTCATCCAGCGTGTAATCCGCTATATCAGACGCTTGTTCCGTGACATCTCCAACTATGCACGGCGCCACCCGATGAAAGTTCTGCTGCTGGTTGTTGTCCCATTGATCACAAGCGGTGTGCTTGTCAAGCTGTTCGCTATGATTGGGATTCATCTACCGAAGCATATCTTTGGTGGAGAGTCATCTGCAGGACCTGGTGGTGACCGTGGCGGCATGGCCGACAATATTAATGGACTTATGAAGATTGCAAAGGTGCTGATGTAGATGTGCCTATGTGCATGCCTTTGTCTTCCACGCTTTGGGGGTTGGAAGTGGTCTCGGGAAGATGAGCCACTCATTTAACGAAAGTCATGATCATGACTCATGGACGAGTCTATATTTGTTTTTTAAAGTTGTTTTACTTGCTTTCGGTCTTTGTAGTGCTTTTCACTCGTGCTCTACAGCCTCGAGAACCACAACTATCTAGGAACAAAACCGGGAGGCTAACTGCGGCTCAATTAACTCGAGGCCCTGGATCCGATTTGCGTTTTCTCCTCATTTACATTTATAAAAACCAACTCTATACAGTCTTAAAAAAACTCTATCACTGGCTTAAGTAACTTTCTACATACTGAGAATAATCTGCACATAGGCTAGGCATCACACTGCAGCCACAGCCTAGCTGCCTCGTTGCCTAGGACCTTTGCGAGCGCTTCCCTTTTCTTCTTCGAGATGCTTTTCCTGAAGCAGCAGCCGAACTAGATTGCTCCGACTGTTCTGGCTGCTCCACAACATCCACTTCTTCACCTTCCGAGACAGCTCCATCATCTACCGTGGTTGACGTTCCAAGAACTTGGCCCACAGTCTTTCGATAAATCCATCCAGGTAATTTAAAGATCATTGTATCACGCACCGTCGGGCGTTCAATCTCTTCAACGTCCAGCAAAAATTCCTGGCGCTCACCATCCTCTGATTCCTCCTCCAAAAACACATTGCCGACAGAGTCAACGATCAGCACTTTTCCGTTCTCAGCAACGACTCTCTTCCTCTCTCCAGTGGGCTCGACAGTTTCGCCAGTTGGGGTCGAAGTTCCGGTACTACGCGACCCTGTCTTCGAACCACCGTTCTTTTTCTCTTTGCGGTTCTCTCGGTCCATCATTCGCTTCTGTCGACGATTCATCGGCTGAGCACTTGCCTCCCCAGAGTCTGTAGATGGAGCAGGGGCCGGAGCCGGGGCGCTGTTGATGCCGCGAACTCCAAGTTCATCGCCCCAGGCAGCTCTCCTAGCCTGACGGATATAGCGGTCGACAAAATCGCGTTGGCGCTTCCAGCTGAGAATAAGTGCCCCGTAATGGGCGCCACCGCCGAACGCCAGAAGTAGCCCGACGAGAACGGAGCCAAGGCCAGGGCGGAACCGGGAGTAGTAGTATCCAGTGCCCCTCCACTTGGGGAACCCATTCTTCAAGAAGTAGTCATAACGCTCACGGCCCGGGCCGCGGAGAATGTTGGCAACAACATTGAGGCGCTGGGCTCGTTCGTGGGCCTCTTTTTCAGCCGCCGCAATTTCACGCTTCGTGGGCCCACGGTTGACGTGTACGCCCTTCTGGGTAGTTTTGGATCTCTGTTGGTCTTTGGAGGCGTTGGCAATGAAAGAGCGCCTGACTTTGTCCGGATGGAGGAGTTTCAATGTTTTACGGTAGGCTTTATTCAGATCATTCTGGTTGGCGTTGGGTTGGGCACCTACAAAGTCTGCACGTTCGAGTTAGAATCGCCATTTGATTCCCGCAAATTCGCGCGGCCAGGATTTTGGGAATATCATTGTACCGTAGAATGTCACATCCACCCCTTCTGCAGCAGTAACTTCATCATGAAGTCGGAAAATCTCGTAGTCTAAAGAAAAAGAGCAGGTTAACCTCAATTTACAAGAGTCAATTGGTGAAATACAAACCCTCCTTCGACCAGGCTGCGGCAAGAACGCATAGAACAGCCAGCAGAACCAAACGGAGAGCTGATGTCTTCATTGTGGGGAAAGTTTATAGGAGCGACCAATACTCCTAAGCCCAGAGAACACGTCAAAGAATGTGCAAGAAATATCCCTATATGGCAGAATGAGACAATTGAGGCTAAAAATCATTCCATGATTTAACCCTAGCACAATGCAGTTTGTTGTGACTGTGAGATCTCCTGGCAAGAATTCACTTGTAAATTCTGGCCAGCTAGCAAACTTTGGGCTAATCAGGAAGGCGGTCAAATAAATTGAACTGCCCGTGGAGTGGATCTTAGTGGAGTGAAATACAAATACAGCTGTGGTCCAGAACAATGAAGACACCCACAGACTACGGGAACGCAGGCTGCGTCAATAACGCATTGCATTGGCCTTGGCCATGAGGTCTATGCTGTTTAATCTGGTATTAATATAAAAACCGTTTTACAGAGAGACTTTTGCATGATAAGAACTCTGGGTTCAAGCGACACCAACAATGTATCTGTTATATTGATCCTCCTAATCCATCTGCAGGATCAATTTGGATCAGAATGCAGAATGCAACAGGGTGATAGCGTATCGGAAGAATTGCTTTACTTTGGAGCAATATGATCACACCAAATTAGCCTATATCCTCCCTCCTGGTCTACAAAGCAATAGGTGAACAGAATGAACTGCTCGGGGCATCCAATATCCCACATAAATGATCAATCACCTCACAATGGTAAGTCTGAGAGCAGAAAGTAAAGAGAGAAGATAAATATGCTGTTGTGGACCCCGTAGACACTCCTGACCGGCAGATGTGTACGTCAAAGAGCCATAAAATTCACGTCTTTACGGGCGTCCCCCCAGTTCTGCAAGCATCATGCATAGCATCGCAGTGACGGCATCGAGAATAGGGCAATGCGCACGTCCATTTGGAGGGCAAATATACGTGGAAAGAACAGGACTGGGGAGGCAGGGCTTTTCCGAATTCAGCATGGTTTGTCATGGACTCGAGAAAAGCCGACTCGCTTTGAGTCCTCAGCGGACAGCGGTCAATCCGAATGTGCCGAGTCCTTGAACCTGGAGGGCTTTTGACAGTCCCTATAAAGATACCTGATCAGTGCGATCTACACTCGAGGGAACAACGTGGACCAATTAAGAGGGCAGGTATGATAATTCAATGATGGCACCTCATTATACACCAGATGGTGTCGTCCTCTGCACTTAGATTTGTGGTCCCGTTGACTTTATAAAAAGCAGGTCACTCCCCGAGCTTGAAGTACTTCCCAAGGCCGGCAGACTATGGACACCCTAACCATAAAGTTGGCCATTAGACCGGCCGGCTTGTGAGGACGAACCGGTATCGCCTAACCCTCGTCTCAATCTCTGACGGCGAGCGTCACAATGAGACTGTCCAGCACATTCTTCAACCCTTGGCATGGATCTGACGGGGCAGCATTCCGCGCTCAGCAAGACGCTCTCTTCCGGCCGTTACATCGATGTACGGGCTTGGATGTTGCAAGCGGCAACCCAGAGTCTACCTAATAGACCGTCCATTATTAAGACTAGATCGCCTTTAAAACCAACGATCCCCGATAAAGCAAGAGAATCGCCCTCGTCCTGTTGAGAGGCTGTGGTTGTGGTGGCTGTCCAGCGCCACGTAACGACCAATACCGATAAGATACGGCGTGGCCAAAAATAGGCTAACGCTCTTTCGTTCCTGCCAGCTTGACAACAATTATTTTCAGCTTCACAAGTTTAGGCACCCCCTTTTCCTCGAGGTCTTTGTCAACTCCCAATCCTTTCCTTTGCCCGCCAACTTCGTTCGCTTCATCATACAGACACCAAGTCCCACTCGTTTATTCTAAATAAACTACGATACCCCCTCGAAGTCACAATGAGCCCAATTCAGCTTCCCATCGACGCGATCACCTCGCGCTTCGGTGACCGCTTCAACAGCCTGCGCTCTCAGTCCCTGGGGACACGGTTTGCCAACCTTCGTCCGATTTCCGAATTCCTCGACGTCAAGCGCGTTTCGAAGCCCGCGAATTTTGGCGAGGCCCAGAGCCGGGTTAACTACAACCTGTCCTACTTCTCCAGCAATTATGCCGCCATTTTCGTGATGCTCAGTATCTACAGCCTGCTAACCAACCCAATACTGCTATTTGTCATTTTTCTGGTTAGTGGCGGTCTTTGGGGTATTGGGAAGCTCGAAGGTCGCGATCTTGACCTCGGGTTTGCCCGATTTAACACCTCTCAGCTCTATACCGGGTTGCTACTTGTCGCGGTGCCCCTGGGTTTCTGGGCTTCTCCCTTTTCCACGTTTCTCTGGCTTATTGGAGCCACCGGCGTGACAGTGTTCGGTCATGCCGCATTCATGGATAAGCCTATCGAGAATGCTTTTTCCGAGGAGGCGGTCTAGGTGGTCGGCCGCGAGCTCCTTACGGCATGCCCCGATGGGGAAGACCACCAGGGGCACATTCGGGGAGACAACAGGGGAGGCTGCGGGGCCAGTGGGTGGATGGTGCCATGCGAGTTGAGGAGGTAAATAGTGAAACGGAGGATCAATTTGGTTTGAGGAATAGTCGGTTGCACACAAGACAATTAGCTGACACACGGGACGGGGGAGATGGGTTGCGGAGGTCTATGGTTGGATACGATGGACACGATAATACGCTGGTACCGTTCAATGGCGCCGACTACGACATGTACGAGAACACGAACAGTACCGTTGCATATGCGGTTCAGCTGGCAATGAAAGATAATGAAGACTGGCTGGTGGAGGCAGCGCTGGAGCGAATCCGACGGGCTCATTCCGAAGGCCAGAAGAACGTTACGTTTTCCAAGCGAGAACTCGAAGCACTGGAGCGCAGGCGACTGCAGGCGAACGCGGATTCAGCAGTCGACAGTCACCTTATGAAGAGACCAGTAAACAAAGCTGGCGCCGCATCCGTTCCGCCATTTCCTCTCGACACCAGTATTCATGGTATTTGGGCTAGGACGACGAGTGCATCTACTAGCCCGCAGTCGTCGACGACGCTCCGGTCCCCACTTCAACCTCCTTTCCCTAACACCATGAACCATGCGCCGCCGTTCCATACAACCCCTACAGTCCCCCGCTCTCACTCGGAAGATCACCAACGAATATCTTCACACCAATCACCTTATATGCGGGAACATGGCCACTCCTTGCACAGTCCTACTGACCCTCAACGAGGATCTGAGACGCGTCCAAGGCAGAGGCCACACACGAATGCTTCCCCGCACGCCTCGCTTGTTCCACCGGAGCCTCTTGGCAGCAAAAACCACGAGAGTGGTAGAAGCAGTCCCCAAAAGCGCAGCCCAGCCAGTAGTGGCGATGAAATACCAATGGTGGAAGTCATAGAGCGCAAAGTACCCAGCTCTCCAACCTATGCGCCTGACAGGGGCAGTCGTCAGCGTACCAACCGACCGTGATTTCCCGGCTCTGTGCCCTTTCCTATCTCATATAGTTTCTTTGGTTATAGGTTGGCCTCGGATGTGTCTCGTGATTAACCTCGCACAGCGGCAAAAACGTACGGAGTTTATTTTAAAATAGAGTGGGGCTCACGTCATTCTTACCCTAATAATCTGAACATATTCGTTAATGTTATTATTTTATTTGATCCATACAACTATAAAAAAGACTTGATGGCACGTGCTCCAGGCCTCGGAGTAACGCATTCCAATTTTCGAAATGCTGAGTCAGTGGAGTTGGCAAGGGGAGGGCTGCTGTGCAAAATCGATCCCTCAGCCACAGCAATGACGTCGCATGGGCCAGGCAGCATTGCGAGACTGCCGGGACTGCCCTGTGAAGTCATCCCTGGCTGCAGATCACCGGCACGACTCAGCCAACAATTACTCGGGTCTGCGGTCGACTCTGGACTTAGGGCAGGCGACCATTTGACTTGGAACGACTCTTAGAGTCATCGAGTAACTCTCCCGATCGCCGACTCCGTAACGCGTCGTGAACCAGCCACATCCGCCGCCATCCGGTCCTCCTTATTGCTTCTATATTTTAGTGGCTCCACGCAACCAAGTTATTCTTCTTGTAGTACCGGGCCAGCATACGTAATGGGTCCGACGTCCTGCTCTTTTATATCTTCAAATCTTTGCCTTGCTTCCCCCTTTCCTTTTTGACCTCCTCCCCCCCCTCCAGTCCTCCACAACCCTCTTTTACGACCTTGCTGGAGCGGACACGGCGTAGTGCCAGAAACTAAACAAAATGTGGATTATTTCTTTCTGGATATTCCCTGTTATTTCCGCGTGCATGTGGATAGGTTGGTGCATGGGATGAGAAACGTGAATTAGACAGTACAGAACACTAACTTGTATTAAGTCATGCTCGGGGTAATGCTGGGAGTATGGCGTGCCCAGGGTTCTCCCGACTATCCTAGCATGGAGCCAGGTCAAAGCATCGCGTATGTGAGCCCGCTGCCGACATCCACCAAACAATTTACCTAATTGACTGCTCAGATATATATCCGATGTTGGCGCACAGGGCCTTAAACCACTCTTCATCACTGGCAGTGTGATCACCGTTGTGTTCCTCGATCTCTCGTTCCTCGCCGAACGATGGCTGCGACACGCCGGGCAGTTGGTTCCTAATAAAGGGTTATTGGACAAATCCTGCGCTATTGGATCTATATTATTCTCGATCGCGGGTGCTGCGGGTTTGATCTTGCTGTCGATTTTCGACACTTACCGCCATTCCCACCTTCATGGCGGGTTTTTGGCGATGTTCCTGTGAGTCTTTCTTCTGTGCGCGTTGTGCCGGCGCACAGCCGCCACTATGCAGCATAGCATGAGTTCTGGACTTGGCTAATGGAATTCGCAGTGTCGCGTACCTTGTCAGCGCTATTCTCATTTGTATCGAGTACCTCCGCATCGGTATCTTCTACCGATCACAGCATCGGGTTCTCCTGGCTAGTTTCACCATCAAGGCCTTCTTCGTCGTCGTCGAAATCGCTCTGGCTATTGGCTTTGGTATCTGCGGGTGGCACCAACCGCACCACAGGAATGCAGCGGCTGTTCTCGAATGGGGTACGTATCCTTCCGCCCCAGTCAGGGTCCTTCACGCGCTAATATTAGTCTGATAGTGATCGCCTTGGTATTCACGTTCTACGTCCTCTCGTTTGTGATCGACCTGTTACCGTCTGTCCGTACACGGAATCACCTCCCACAAGGCGAGAAGGGCATGGGCCCCCGCCATTCAGACCAGCATGAGATGGTGGAAGCACCCCTGACGCAGGACTCTGCTGGGCCGAACGCCAACCCCAACACCAACTACTACCGCGGAGCGCACTTTTAGAATATTGGAGTATGATTTTGTGTGTGGCTTTCAACTCTTTTGTTTTTGCCGTTTGCTGCATTGCGTGTTGGAATATAAAGTTAGGATACCTTGGGAGTATGGATCATGATTTACGACTTATATGGGTGTACTATAACAATTTAGAAGCTAAAGTTTAATACATATCCGCCTCTCATTGGTTTATGTATTCTATAACATTCAGGTACAATTCCACGCCTTCTAAAAGTCTAACCTAAAACTAAGCCAATAACCGCCTCCTCACACTTTCAATGTCTCTCTCCTCAACCCCAATGTACTCAAGATATCCCCGAGCACCCCCATATTTCTCTCGTAGGAACCCCGTTACCCTCTCAGTAAAATCCTTCGGACACCTCGCATACTCCTCGCCCAGTCCTAAAGCCCTGATCTCCCTCATCCTCTCCTCCTTCTCTCCAGCCGGCTCATTCTCCAACTCCTTCTCCGAAAGCACATACTCACTCGCCATAACCTCGGCATCAACAATACCCGTCAACAAAAGCGAAAGAAGGATAATCAGTCCCGTCCGGTCTTTCCCCTGCGTACAGTGAACTAAAATACCAGAACCAGACCCAGGGACAGGAGCAGATGAACCGTTATCTGCATCCATATCTAAGGATGAAGAGAAAACATCGAAAACCCTCTTTATTTCAGCTGCACTCGCCTCGAGGGTATCCATTGCTAACCCCGTCAGCCCAGCAGGCTTCATCACGTTCTCGCCGACTATACGCACGGCATCTTGCCTATACCCTGATGTTATATATGCAAGGACTTTCCTGCACAGCTGTTAGTCCATCAAACAGGGGCGCGAATAAGCAAAGCAAGGGTAAGTAAGATAGGGAAGACATACGTGAAATTCCACCAATCCAATCTCCACAGGAGCTGTCGCTCAAAGGCCTTCCCCGTAAGACTGATCAGATGGCGCCGAGTATCGGTGTTTTCGAGAGAGGGAAGATGGATGTAGGCTTCTCCTTCTCCTTCTCCTTCTTCTTCTTCTTCCCTGGGATCAGAGTCTGTCGGCGTCGTTGTAGGAATATCATTATTGCGCTTGTATTTCTTAACGGCCATTTGGTGTTCTGTCCTGTGGGCTTGTGAGCATCCAGATGAACAAAAATCGCGCATAAGAGTACATACGTAGAGCGCAGATCGATGATGGAGGATATATGCAGGTCATCTGTTATACGACGGATATCCTCTTTGGACGCTTCATCGAGCTATATGCGTATTTAGCAATGGCCAGCGTATATACAAGCGATATATGGAGAGGTGGAGTAATAATGCAAGTGCAATGTCTACAGCACAAATAGGGGCAATTACCCGAGCACTTCGAAAGAGGACGCCCTCCTTCAGGAGTCTATTTGTACAGAATTAACACGTAAATACTATAGTCACTTGGGACTAGGTATATTTAACCATACTCCTGCCCAGCGAATTGGTTGACGGTCCGGCCGACGTCGCGGAAGTTGATGATGCCGTCGAACGGACGGTCAAGGCCGGTGTCGGGCATGGCCAGGCTGTGTATCGGTAAAATGAAGCACTGGCAGTTCGTTCTGGGGGCAGCTCAAATAATATAAAATAATCTGAGTGAGAGGAAAGACCGGCGAAGTGACGGGATGGATTGATCGGCCGGTTACTTCAGCCGCGCCCCCTAAGCCCTTTTCGATGCTAGTCCGATCGTCTCCTCCAGGTCGAGATATTACTGTGATCCCTTCCCTGTCTTGCTGTAGTACTTCAGCTCCCATCCCGATACGCGCAGTATCTTCAACTTTCAGCGAATTAGCTCGGCGGATTGCGCTGTCGCCGCCATGGCTGTCATTAATATTATTGTGACACTCGCCGTCCCACTGCTGACAGCCATTGGGTATGGCCTCTACTGCGGCTTCCAACACCGTCGCAAAATCAATGAACTCCGAAAACAAGGAATTGTAAGGCCATCTTATCGGTTACTGGGTGTAGTATATGCTAACTCTATATCAGCGCATGCCGAAGGAGTGGAACTGGTTCACTGGCCATCTGCTAGTACTCCAGAAATATGTCGATCGGCTGCCATCTGATGCCCATGTCCTTCTCGCTGTGCATGAACTGGCCAAGGACTACGCCGATACAGAAATCTTCTTGATGGATGTCTGGCCGGTGTTTCCTGCGGTATATATGATCTACGACCCGGATACCTCCGTGCATGTCTCAACCAAATACAATCTCCCCAAGGTCCGTAACTTTCACAAGTTCATGCTTCCAATCACCGGTGGGCCAAGTTTGCTTTCGATGAACGATGCAGAGTGGAAGAAGTGGCGGTCGATTTTCAATCCTGGATTTAGTTTCGGTAACATGGCAGACCAGGTGCCGGCAGTGGTTGATTCTGTTCAAGTTTTCTGTGAGATACTCCGGGACAAGGTCGGAACTGGGATGTTTCAGCTCGACGAGCTCACTACTCGCTTGACTATGGAGGTCATACTTCGAGTAACCCTGTGAGACACCTAAACGCGTTATCTTGTGACCGAGAGTTTGCTAATTATGGGTGAGTGATGTGGACTCGAACTATCAACGCTCCGAGAATGAATTGGTGTACGCCCTGAACACCATCACTGCATGGCATTCATTCTGGGACCCGCGCGTTCTAACGAACCCCATTCGGCCTTTAGTCCAAAAGTACTACAGCCGTGTTATGGATCGGTGCATCCGAAAGGAGCTAGACAAGAGATTCGCCGAAATGAAACGCCCATCCCACTCGTCATCGTCGTCGAAACACGTCAAATCTGTCATTGCCCTTGCCCTTGAGGCATACCTAGCTGATCGCCACGAGAAAGCTAGTGAAACTAACAAGCTTGACGACGTCTTTGCAAAATACGCAACCCACCAGATCCGCCTGTTCCTATTCGCTGGCAACGACACCACTTCCAGCAGCATGGTTTATGCGTACCACATGCTCTCAAAACACTCCGCTGCGCTGGCTCAAGTACGACAAGAGCACGATCGTATTTTTGGCCCTGATGCCTCCTCTGCAGCGCAACTTCTCAAATCCAATCCCGCTCTCCTAAACCGGTGTCCGTATACCCTAGCTGTCATCAAAGAAACGCTGCGACTATTTCCCCCAGCCTCAACTACCCGCCAAGGGCTCAACGACATCAGCTTAACCGACCGCCATGGCAATCTATATCCACTTGATCGTGAAATGGGGGCGGAAATCGTGCATCCGACTGTCCAGAAAAACCCACGCATATGGCCACGCGCCGAGGAATTCCTCCCAGAGCGATGGCTTGTCGATGCCGAACATGAACTGCATCCGAACCCAGCTGCGTTCCGTCCCTTTGAGCAAGGCCCACGAAACTGCATCGGGCAAAATCTCGTCTATAACGAGATGCGGATATTATTAGTGATGACTGCGCGAGTGTTTGATATCAAACCAGCATACGACGAATGGGATGCAATGAAACTGGCAAATGAAGGGCCTTTGCCGAAACTTGCCAGGGTTATGGGCCTCTGTGGTAACCAAATCAAAACTGTACATGGAGAAAGAGCATACCAGACAGAAAAGGCCGGCACCCATCCAGCTGATGGGTATCCGTGCCGTGTATCGTTGGCACAATAAGATCTACTGTTCATCACTCCTCACAATACAAGCCGCATATCCAAATGGATTACGTACAAAAAATCAATCAAACAGGCAAATAATCATCGCAATATGGAGGGCAATTCGGGCTGCCATCAATAGAAGTCCTCGGAGCAATCCGAGTCGTCGTTACTACTGGCGTCTGCTTCCGAGGTATATGTATCTCTAGAACTCTGGGTGAACTCGTCAAACCCGCCCCCTCCTTCACTATCATAGACCATCAAATAATCCTGAGAAGCCTGGAAGGGCTCGCCATACGTTTCTTCCGAGCTATGTTTATCAGCCTGCGGAGCTGAGCTGGCGACAACCCGCTCAACACGCGTGAGCAGGTGACTGAAGCAATAGCAGCAGGGAATATTAACTAACAGTGCTCTTGGTATGACGAAATCAAGCATACGGATGCCATTTGAGAAGCGGCTCCCAGAAAATCAAGCCCGGCTGCCTTAATTCTGGGTCGTTCAAGCGGCACCGCATAAATTTATACCGAGTTTACCACATGTATCGGTTAGACAAACTTATTTACTATAAAAAAGGGTTTTCCATTCTCATAAACCAGTAAATCCAAGCTCCCACTGCGATTTAAACCAGGAAACCGTAGCATTAGCATTCCCCGCCATCCAAGCTGCAGCAGCCCCGAATTGCGTAGCCCCATTTACAGCAGCAAGCCCTCCGCCGCCAGCCCCAGCACTCTGCATCGTAGCAAACACACTACCGGCAGCGACATTTCCAATAGCACTCTGCGCACCGGCGGCAAGGGAGCCTAGAACACTGTAGGCCAGCATACTGCTATCAAGCAAGCAAGCAAGCAAGCAAGCAGAGAAGGGAGGGGAGGGGAGGGGAGCACAAACAAGCCTTAACACCTGCAGCACCAAATCCGGCAGCTGAGAGAGCTGGTGTAACTACCAACGTGGGGAATGCAATGACTGCACCTGTCGCTGCTAGACCTGCTAGGCCTGGGTTGTTAGCAGCCCATCCGGCGGCCTGCTTCGTGTTGTTTTGTTAACCACCATGCATGAACAGGCTAGAGGGAAGTAGGTAGATGAAGCTCATACCTGAGCTGCAAAGCCTGCTGAGCTGTTTAAAACAGGCTTCCCGTATGTTGCGGCCATTTCTGTCACTTCACTGAAGGCTGTCTGGGCTGTTTTGTGACCCATGGCGAGTATATCTGCGGTGGTCTTGATAGCAGACATTTGTATTCGATCGACGGGACGATGGAAAAAGATGTAGTTATGGGAGTAGTTAAGAGAAAACCTGAAGGGTTGTTTTTGATGACACTGGAGGGGGGAAAGAAAGAAGATGGTGGTGGGTGACGGTGATGGTGAAATAGCCGCCAAGTTGAACCAACACTTGCCGCAGCTTTCTAGCCAACAGCCTTGAAGGATGGAGAGTACGCTGTGTCACATCACTGCGCCACAGATGCAGTTATATGTTGGAAGTTGGAATGCTGTTATGTATATAAGAGATCAAGATAGATTGGAGGCAAGTCGTTCGGGGTCTTAGGTCATATGGTCGTTGCGTTCGGCCAGTTGCTCGATCCAAGTCTCTAATTATGTGTCAGTCTCACTGCGCTATGTTGCGTCCCCAATCCTACTCACCCATATTGTCTTGGGAAGACGGCCCCTGCGTGCCATTCTTGAACCCAGGAAGCCGGATTTCGGGAGTCGCAAAAGCTGGGGATAGCAGCTTAATGTCGACGTCCTCGAACGCGCCAGCAACCAGTTCAGAGTCCTTCACCACAGGAACGTGGTTATACCCATAACTAACAGCCCTTGCCATTGAGGCAAGGCCGAGGGAGAGACCAACAGAAACAAGTCTCATCTTTGTGTGAGAAGAAGTAGATATCAAAGGGCAGGGAGCTCGAAAATAAACACTCTCAGTCGATAGATTAATAGATACATATATGACCAGATAAGCCCTCCAAAAAATATAGCAACAAGTGAATCCTTCTCCCTAATCCTCTTATCTACCCAAGCCCTAATTGAGCGCCCGTTCTTCCTTAACGAATGACTCCCACCGTGGCATAAACCCAGGCGAACCGAGAAATAAAGCAAACACGAGATATAATAACAAAAGTGATATATGGCAGTACAACTAACACATATTATTATAAGTCTTCGGAGAAGCGCGATTCACGGACCGAGGTGCTATGACTCGCTCGACGAGTGCTACCACCAACTTCCCTGATAGTAGGAGGCGCAGGCAGGGAATGCTGAGCGGCACTCTCACGCGCTGCTTCTCTCTTTTTCGATGGTGCGGTCAATTCATCGTCAGATCCCGCGCTGTACCCTGTGTGTTTTGTGCTCTCGCTTTGCTTGACGATGTCTTTCGAGTCTTGTTCGACAGCCACATATTCGCTGGGTGACATTCCGTTGAGTTTACTCAGGTCATCGTCAGAAACGCCACCAAAGTTCGGTGGTCCTCTGAGGTCTTTCGCCGTGACGGGGTTCGACCTCAGTGGGGCTGTTCGAAAAGTATCTTTAGGGGCACGCGATGCCTGAGTAGCAGGCTCTGCGGCCGACTCATACTCGTCTTCGGAGTCATCTGTCTGGAAAACTTTCCCTCTTCGGTCCGCTACCTCTTCCCTCTCAGGGCCTTCTGCCCTCTCGGGACCCTCAGCACGCTCAACACGTTCAACACGCCCGGTACCAGTGATGGCGCCAACACCAGTGACGGCGGCCGTATCTTGCGCTGTCTGTTCTTCGTGGATTCCGTTCGTCTCCCTTGGAGGTGGTGCACTGGAGCGACGGCCTATTCTGTCCTTAAACCAGTTTCTGAATTTTGACTCTCGTCTTAAGACGCTGTCGCCTTCCGAAGCGGTTGTTTCTTCAGTCTGGCGCTGCGCGGCTTCCGAAGGTAGAGCGGCGGCTTCAGTGGTTTCGCGCTCCGTGGGTCGCTCTGTAGTAGTTTTGTCTACTTCAGACTCATCATGCGGCAACTGTCTCGACTTTCGCTTCCACGGCCAGACCGTGTCTGCCTTGTGTTTGTTCTCGTGTTGCTTCTTCTTTAGAAAATCTACTCGAGTTAGACTAGCCCTTGAAAATTAATGGTAAAATCATACCTTGATGTTTCGCCTCCTCTGCCTTTATATCGGCCTCCCGCTCATGTTCAAGCTGCGCCAGGCGCTGTTTCTGCTCCTCATCAAGGCGTGCCTCCAAGTCTCGCGCTCTCTGGGTCTGTGCCCTGTCGTCAATTTCGTCAAAAGTAGGCTGAAGTCGAGATCGCGCTAAGTCTTCTACGTCGCCCATCTCCACGTACTTGCTACCGCCGATATTGACTGTATCAGCCAGCAGGGTCTGCTTGTCCATGTCCTCAAGGCCCTTCTGTGCGCGCTGTGTTGCCTTTTCGTCCAAATACTTCTGCATCGCGACAGACTGTCCAGGTTCAGCATACATACGTTTGTCTATGTCCTGGATAGCGGCATCGACATTCTTCCTCGCGAGCTCCATCAAGGATGCACGATCCTTCTCCCTCTTTTCATCAACTGCATCAAGTTTAGATCGCAGCGCCGTCATCTGAGTTCTAATTTCCCTTGACCGTTCCGCATCAAATTCCTCGGTGTCGTCGGATCCTCGGCGTTTGCGGACGGTGAGACTGGACCTTTGGACTTGCGGTTCAATTCCGTAATAGTCTCGAAAAGCAGCCGTTTCATCTTCCAAACCTGCTATCCTCTGGGCGGCACGTTTCTGGGCAACATCATGCAAGTTCAGCGCCTGCCCGAGAACATTTGTACTCGCCTGTTGCAGAGTCGTAGCTTGCGGCTTAGAGGCAGAAGCTGACCGCCGAGTGCGAACGCCCGCAGCTCCTCCGCCTCTGGCATCCATGGTCCCATACATATCCTTGGCCATCGACATAGAAGCTGCCTCCAATATACTCCTTCTCCGAAGTTCTTCGACTTCCGCGGGAACAGGCGGCGTAGCAGTGAAGAGCTTCGGGTTGAGGTGGGCATTCTTTATCCTGCTCGCGTTCATGTATTTATCCAGATCATCGAAAGGGTCGCCCACGCTCTCGGTTGTCGCACCGACTCTAGCGGTTGCACCGGCACGCGCAGCTTCGGACGGCGCAGTCTCGGCCCTCCTCCTATTACTATAGTATTCGGGAGTTTTTTGTTCCTTGAGAGCGGCCAATGCAGCATGGTACTGGTATCCGTCGTTAATGGATGACGTGGCTCTGCGATGATTGGTCTCATGAGACGGTGACACTGCCTGCTTGGCTCCATGTTCCTGCTTCCGTGCGTGCGCGAGCAGTGCGGCTGCAGCCGACGCATTGCTAAGTCCGGGCTGAGAACCTGATGCTCTTAAGACTGAGAGAACAACCACGCATTAGCATCGCAGTTCTGTCGCAGGGCTCTTGAACCAAGCAGAATAAATAAGGCTACTTACCAGCTGGGTCGATTTCGGTTGCCCTTATCGGCGAGCGAAGCGAGGCGCTACGCTCTGGATGGGTGACATAAAGGGCAGCAGTCGCAGCTATAAATGAGTATTATATCAGCTACCAAGCTCTGTTGAGAATAGGGCTGGTGATAATTACCTTGATCTGCTAGCCGTTCGGAGCGTGAGCGCGGGATCCGATGCTGAACCGGGGTCTGCTCGACTGTTGCCATGATAAAGGTAGGGATGGAGTCGCGGCAGAGGCAGTCATTCCTGAATGAAGCAAAAGAAGAGAGCGAGGATACGAATAAGAATGAGGGGGGCGCAGAGCTGAAGTCAAAGGGAGCTGCGAGGCGTCAAGAACGGTGACGTAGTGCTTATCAGGGAGGTTGCAAGAAGCTGCTGGGCGGCGATCGTCGGATGGCAAAGATGGGATCAAACCAGCGGCTGAACTTAATCCAGCACTAGCAATTCGCACGATGGACTGGTCAGAGGTCGGATTGCAAAGCTCAGTCCTGATGTCATGAGGTTTTGAACGGGTGTCGAGGGTGCAATATCTCGAGCCCAACCTTGGGTCAAGTGGGCTGACGGTCGCCAGCATTCCAGTGCTGCCCCGTCCGTTTCCGTCATCATCGCTCTCCCAGCCTCGCTTTTAATTCATCACGACCATGCAGGGTCTGACCGCTCCCATGGGCGAACGTGTTCGATCGGGGTATAAGCTTATCTTTTACCTAGGTGGGTAGTTCATGCGTGATAGTCGTGGAGATCCGTTCCAGACCGTGCGTTAATATATTGTACCACTTCTATATGATTAAAGAACATAATCCACCACCCTTTTCAAGACACTTCACTACAACTCCATTAGTATTATTACAGTGCTTGTCGTCCTTCAACGGACGGCCGAGAGCGACGACCCTCCTGTTTCTATTAAGTCGCTCCCCCTTGCTATGGACCATACTACCATAACCCTAACAGCTTCAGAATGTCATGTCGCGAGAAAAAGTGCCTGTTCCATTTTCCGAAAATATCTATTTCGAAATCAAGTTAGCATGACAAAATCTATCGCTTTATTAGTTCCAGAAACATACACATGGGAATACTCAGAACACAAATGGCCACCTGGATACTTGAAATTGCCATAAACGGCTTTCGGACGTACGCTTCCACAAGCCAGTCATACGTATAGAAGGTCAACACAAAGCTGAAGATGTTTTTGAAAATCAACATGCATGTGAATGCCTCGATAACAATGTCGCCTGATAGTAGTTAATGACAGCTCCCCACTTTCTGACTTGAACACTTACGGTGAGCATCGACGATATACAAAGCACTGGCGACAGCGCCCATCACCATCCCGATCACGACGCAGCAAAAGAACACATCCGGTGGCAGCCAACCGTAGTGTGCGGCGTCATTTGCAGTGATCCCGAAGCCGTACAAGCCGATGCCACAAAAGATTAACTGGAAGATCACAAGGAGGATACGGAATTCAGGCTCGAATCTTCCCTTGTTGAGTTTGATCATCAGTTGGTTCATGAAGTCGGACAACAATCCTGACAACACAAGCCCCACCATGGCACCGATAAAGGCTCCTGTGTACATGTATCCAGTTTTGTCCTCTTCGAACCAAAGCGGGCCACTCATGAAAATAGCAGCTAAAGTAACACCGATAAAGACTGTCCATCCGATGATGACACCTTGAATCAAGCACGCCTGTTTAAATTAGAATTAACAGCTATTCGGTGAGCTTTTGGGCGACTTACCCATAGGACTGCAGGATGGAAAAACAGCGGGAACGGACGCAGGAGGAGTTTCCACCAATACTCGTCCGTTTTCCTCCCATTAAATAGTTTCAAGGTCTGAAGATATGAAACTTTTTCAGGGACATCCTTTTGTCTCGCGGGTTCTTCGCTAGCAACATTGTATGACGACTCGCCGTTGCTATTCGACGACTGCTTGGGCTCCTGCAAACCGCCCTCCTGGAACTTGTACGATCCATCATGTTGCGCACCTCCAGTTCGATCGTGCACGCGTTCCGAATGCATGTCCAGATAATTCGGCCGCCTAAAAGCTGTTTCTGGCACCAGGAAGATTGTGAGAGGTAGAGCAGCAGCAGCAAAAATAGCAATGAAGTAAAATGTCCAGTCCCAGCCCATGGTCTTCGTGATTTTACCCGCCGCAACTGGTGTGAGAAAAGCAGCTCCGAAAACTGCGACGTTGGACAAGGCCATTCTCTTGCCACGTTGATGCACATAAAACAGATCGTCAACAACAGCGTTTGTTAAGGCTTCGAATGGAGCCAAGGCAACGCCTTGAAAGATGCGAGCCCACAGAAGACTCTGATAGTTCTTCCCACTGCCACCAGCCCATGCGCAGCTCACCACCATCAAAATATGTCCAAGCACGAAGAGATGGCGTTTGCCCCATACTCGAGCAGTCGGTACAATAAGGATGCCCGCGATTCCGGTTCCACAGAGGTGATATCCAGTGAGCAGAGCGATGGACATGAAGCTTTCCATGTAGTACCGAGAAAGCGTCACAGTTCCGGCTGCCATGACGGAGCTAGTTGTCGCGCAGAGAACAGCCACGAGAGAGAGCGCGAAGAGGGTCAAGTCGCGCTTCCACAACGGCCAGTTCTACCGTACAAATCCTCGGTTAGTGATATCAAATGTCAATGTATGTTTGCAAATGTTTTTGGGCGTACCAGTGGATCGTTCGGGTCATCGCTTGGCTGTGGTACTAGGAGTATGGGTTCTGGTCCGGAGCGGTCATACTTCAGATTCGAATAATAAGCAGGGGGTTGGTCTGTGGAGCGTTCTTTTTCAAGGATGTCAACAGTTCCTGATTAAGGTTATCACAAAGTCAGTCCTAACTGGAGATAATACGAATCTTCTCGGCAGTCCAATAGCAACGTACCTGGAACCTGGCGGTTTTTTACGTCCACAATGCCGAGACCCATCTTGACAATCGAAGCCCACCCAGGGTCAATTGGCTAAAAAGATATTGGATGGAGAGCAACAACCTAACCTTCGAGGATTGCCGGGGAATCTAATAATGAGATTAGATCCAACCCTCGTACGTAAGCGAGAGCATGCTGCGATAGAGTTTCAGTCTAGCTTGACTTAGTTTTGATATTTCTCTCTGTTGATACAGGTCAGAGGTGGGGGGCAGTTGAAGAAAGGAGGGGAACGTCCAAGAGGATGACGCAGCAAAATGCAAGGATTGTCTGCGGTCTCAGCACTTTTCAGTGAAGCTCGCGGTCCCAACAGCGGAAAGGATGCGGAGGTTGAGGCAGTCAGGTTGTTGTGTTGCATCTTGTGATTCGAGGACGTGGCAAGCAGTCAAGCCACTGTATCGCACCTTGTACCTTCAACAATAGAACACTACAGATATCTAGTTTAATACGGTCTCTTCTGTAATCTTCAATTCTTGAAGCTCCCGTGTGTGAAATGCTGCTCTTCAGTCGAGTAGTAATAACAGCCATGATAGTCATATTATCTCAACACTCTCCCCCCCAGTTCTGCGCCAACCGATACTATTATCAAGCCACCTCCTCATCTCCGCCACCTGGGCACTGAAATGAGGATGCCCTGGGAAGGAAAGATTTTCTCCTGACAGGGGGCATGTCCAGATATTCCCAACTACAAGGGTAGCCCCGCCCTCAACATCATCATACCGATCAGCAACACAAAATTTAATCCACTCAGGATGCAGAAACATGCGGAAAGAGTCCACCTCCGTACCGAGGCCTGGAGGGGTTCAGCTGTAGGCCCTCAAGAACACGGGGAAGCTCGGCAGTGGGGAAGCTGGAATTGGCTGGCTGTTTCCACGAATCGTATGCGGGGAGGCGTGACTGTACAGGGGTCCCGTGCAGTTAATCGCATTGAAACGATGCGAGCAGCAACTTCCACCAACTAGTCCGTGGCGCTAATTGGCTGCATGTCTTCTCTAGGTTGCACTTCATGTTCAACTTCTTCTCCAGCCCGAGCTCCTGGCAATGTTCCTCTTTCAGCTGACCCCTCACTTTCAGGACTCAATCAGAGCCCGGGGGTTGTAACTGAGTGAAGGCTTCTTAGAATCGCACGCCTTGTGTGTGCCACTAGAGACCAACAGCGCAGTAGACACTCAGTCTCTCCATAGCAGTCAATTGTCAGGTTGTAACGAGCTTGGCTTATAGTGTGAATCTGGATAGGCTGCATTGGTTGATCTTCATCGTCATACCATGCGCACTTACGCAGCGTGTAACCGAAGTCCGTAAGGGCATGCTTCAAAATCCAGAATATCAACCAAGCAAGGGGACAATAAAGCAGCATATGACGGAACTTTACTTGGATCAGTAGGGCTCTCGACATTATTGCTATACATGCCGAGCACCCGCAGGCAGCTATTAGGTGGTCTGTGGCCTGTTCCTGAACGCTGGAAGAGCTTGTGGTAAGCGGGGAATCAACAAGGATAGGTACCTATTCAAAGCTTGTGTTGCTCGAGGTCAAGTCCTTTTCCACTCACTTTCACTTTCACATTTCCCCTTCCCTCATCAACCTTTCCCCCACCAGCTAAATAACCGTCCAACTTGTTGAACGCCCCGAAACCTTTCCCTAGCTCCAATCCATCTAAAAACTAGCAAACATGAAGCTTCAGTCCCTCGCCCTCGCTGTTGCCGCTTGCCTGGGCTCTGCTGCAGCTCAGGGAATGAGTGGCCTTCCGTCCTGTGCCGTAAGTCACACTCCCGTCTCTATAGCCAATCCTCAGCTTTTCCTATCTACAATGGCTTGGAAGATTACAAATTTCTAACAAGACAACAGCAAAGCTGCGCCACTGATGCTATTCCCTCGGCATGCAGCCTGATCGACGTCGAATGTATTTGCAAGACCAAGTCTTTTGTCGACGACATGGCTTGCTGCGTCGGAAAGTCCTGCGATTCCAATGACCAGGATGGTATGTCATAGTTTCAAATTCCACCAGCCCCTGTTCTCGACCAATATGGGGGAGATCCTACCTCGTGTGCGCTTGTGTATGAACTTAGCTAACATGGGTCAATCACTGCAGCGGCCCTTGAATTCGCCAATGGCATTTGCGGTGGTGCCGGAATCACCGATCTTCCCCAGTCTGCCACTTGCGCTGGCGGCTCGACCGCTACCAGTACTGAATCCACCCCCAGTGGAACTGCAACCACTAGCACTGCGAGTGAAGATGCCTCCGAGACCTCATCTTCAGCTTCTCAGTCCGCGACTCCCAGCTCGTCCGAGACCCCCGCTGATCCCGAGGCAACTGATGGTGCAGCACTTCTCCAGGGGAAAGGGGTCGGTGCACTTGCTGGTATTGTCGCTGGTGTTGCATTCATGTTGTAGACCAAGAGCGGCCCGTCTGCAAATGGTAGCTTCATCATGCTTCATGTCGGAATGAGAAACGGGCCCGGAAAGGACTGGAATCGAACGATGTAATGCAGTTGTATTTATTATGTTCTCCTTCTACTCAAAGTAAGGAGAAACACGACGCAAATCTAATGTGGAAAATGCCATTTTAATGATCAAACCAAATAACTCCATCCTGTGCATGTGTTCCTTAGCCGCCTAGAAACCAGAAGAAAATAAGTCGAGTCTATTGATCACGCTCTCGCTCCGCAAACCGCTGCGAAACCTCCTGTCTTTCTTCGCGCAGCGTTATGTAAATCTAAATAGTTACCAGAAGAGTTAGCCAAACAAATCCCCAGCCAGCAATTAAACAGTTGTAAAAGCGGAGGAGTCAAAAGATAGACATACCCAAAACCAAAACATCATCTCCATGAACCCATACGTAAAAACCACCCTATTTTTCAACTGATCCAACCCCGAAGGCTCCCTAGACGCAGAGCCACGGACAGCATGGTCCACAGCAGCCTTCCCCGCATCCGGTTTGCTCTGATATATGAAGAACGAGACAGCAAAGAAGAGACAGAACCTCGTCAGAGAAAGCAGCGTCCAGATTTCAGAGTATAAGGTCGTAAGACGCGCGATGAACGGGTTGGTACGCATGCGCTCCAGACCGTTTACGGCTCCGGGAGCTTCTCGTCGCGCGGCTTCGGCCATGGCCAGAATCTCATTTAAGTGTGGGATTTTCGTGATGAGAATTAAGTCTACCAGAGCCTCGGCGGCAAGGAGGATGCCGCACATGGCGAAGGGTGATTGGGGACGGGAGGAGGATGGAGTTGTTGACGAGTCCTGTTTTCAACCATTTTTCGTTAGGAATTTGTTTCGAACTGGTATGGACGGATGGAGTGAGAGAGGGTTCTGTACAAGCCGTAGGAGCTCTCCCAGCATGAAGACTACATCGCTTTCAGTGACGACTTCGGGAGATTTGGTGAGGTAAACGGCGACTGTGAAAAGGAAGACCGCGTGTCCCTTGATCAGGGTTTTGGAGGATAGAAAGCCCATTTTGGGGAGCGGTATCGTAAATAAGACAGGCGAAGTTGGTCAATTGACTATGGTAGGTTGCTGTGTGAGGTTGGCCGTTAATTGTTATGGTGAGATGAAGCTCCAGTTCGGGTCCACCGGTGCCTTTTTTCCTCCCTATCGGAGATGTGGGGTCGTGCTTCTCCGATATTCAAACGTCTGCAAAGGCAAACGACACAAAAAAGATCATAGAGACCGCGATAGAGACTGCAGAACATCCATTGCGCATCCACCCGTCTGCTAATTGCATTTCTCGGTTCGTTCGAGTCGTTTAAATTCCACTACGACACCTTGGGAGTTGGCCATGTCGGAAGCTGTGTTCAACAAAGATCGCCATATCACCTATTTCCTGCGATGTCTCAAAACTTTCCTGCCGAGTCTATATACTTCCAATGACTCGAATCGCATGCTCCTCGCCTTCTTCACAGTCTCTGGTCTAGATGTTCTGGGCGCTCTGCGGGCCAAAACAACCCCGGAGGAGAGGCAAGGGTACATCGATTGGATATACCATTGCCAGGTTCCCTCAGGCGGCTTCCGAGGGTTTACAGGAACAGATTTTGGAACAGAGAACCGAACACGAGAAAATGAAGCCTGGGACCCGGCAAATGTGCCTTCAACATTCTTTGCGCTGGTCATTCTCCTCATTCTTGGGGATGACCTATCTCGGGTTAAGCGGACCGAGTGTTTGAACTGGCTTCCCAAGATGCAGCGTCCGAATGGAAGCTTTGGCGAAGTACTTGGTCCCGAAGACCAAATTGAAGGTGGCGGTGACTTGCGTTTTTGCTGCTTCGCTGCCGGTACAAGATATATACTCAAGGGGAAGAGGGACGTCGATTTAAATGGCGTCGAAGATATAAATGTGGATAGCCTGGTTACTTTCATTGAGTCCTGTCAGGTGAGAAATTCCTTTTTTCTTGATGGCTCTCGGCGCTTAACATTTACTAATACTTTGTAGGCATACGACGGTGGAATGGCGGAGGGGCCACATTGTGAATCACACTGTACGTCAAGACTGGTCCCCTTGATCTCCGATTTTTACTTATTTGTGTATCTCCAGCTGGGCATACATACTGCGCGATTAACACTTTGACATTTTTGGATCGCCTATCCAGCTGTTCGGGGCAGGTGCCTCTCATTACATCTGGCTCTGAACAGTTCGAATCCCTTGTCCGCTGGCTCGTCGCAAGGCAGACGGCGGAACTAGGTGACGAAGACGAGGAAGATGAAGAAGATCCATCCAACACGGAAAACCCAGCGGATAGCAATGTCCAAGATTTATCAGACGCTGTACATGGTCTCAGCCTAGACAAGAGCATTGATATGCTCCCTAGTATCCTAGCGCCTATTGAAGGCTCTTTGCAATGGGCTGGCTTCAACGGGCGGAGTAACAAATACGCAGACACTTGCTATTCATTTTGGAATTCAGCAACTTTGGAGGTGAGCGTTACCGCGAAACTACAACCGCAGAAACTCAGCTAACGCCCAATCGCAGATGTTAGGCAAACTCCCCATGGTTGACGCAGACCGAAATAGACGATATCTGTTAGAAAAGACACAGCATTTTGTTGGAGGTTTTGGAAAAGGCGTTGGGGAATTACCAGGTGTGTTAGGCATCCTTTGTGTCCTTTCATTGTCTGACAGCGTTTGTGAGCAGATCTCCTACACTCTTATTTTGGGATGGTCTCACTCGCCTTCCAAAGTGAACAAGGGTTGGACAGTGTTGATCCTGCGCTTTGTGCTACGCATCGAACGATCCAACACTTGCACACTCTGCCGTGGTGGCAGGAAGTGGAATAAATTGCCTAGGTTCGACCCTATAGAGAACCAATATACCCTCCCTTGCAATAACAAATCCCAGAAGCCACTGGAATAAGCATTGATTGGGCGAAGCATCCAATTGGAGACCTGATGCGGAATTCGAAGTGTGTTCGAGAAGGCGACAGGTCGACTCTTAAGCTCACCTCCACAACGGCTGTCGGCTTGTATGGTGTAGTTCATTGACGTTCCGAGCTCTGATGCAATCGTCTCGAACGATCAGCAAGCAGACCAATCAACACCGGCGCGGGACTATCAGTCAAATGAAAACCTGCCAGCTTCAAACCTGCCGTCCACCGGCCCCAGACTAGTGAGAACTAGTGAGATATGTCATCAACGTCCGCTGCTAAATTTGAAGCAGTTGCACATCTTCGATTCAGGGGTTGAGAATCCACCACGGGACGGACGAGAAGTCTAGGTCTCGGGGACAAAATACTCTCTTCTCCTTTCTCGTAGGCAGGCGTTATTACTGCTAGTCGTCACTGCATTACTGAACCTCCCATGAGTACACTAGAATGCGATTTCGTCGAGGTCGCGGGATATCAATCGGCTGCGCTGCTCCCGACCTCCGATAAGAGCATTCAAGCCGTTTCCTCATGGCTCATAGATCGCAATCTTAATTTCACACTGACAGAAACGGCCCACGTTTTCCACCAATCTCGACGATGGTTAAATTAAAGTAGAAACCAAGTTGTTGATACCGCCGTTAGCTGTGGTTTTGTAAGCGTCTCATCTCGTCCATCCTAAGCCCGTTTTTAATATTCTTCCCCTCAGTAGCACGGAGCTTGAATCTTCCCTCTCGCGCCCGTATTTCCTTATTTTCTTTTCCTGTCGGCCTTTTTCGACCGTATACTTCTTAATATATTCTGTGCTGGGCAGATTCGGCTGCATTTCCGGTGCTTTTTGCCCCGTACCCGCCACCGCGCTGGTTCCTGTTCCTGTCCCCATTCCCGGGCTTCCGCAAAAAAAAGCCATCCTCGGCCGACGGCGACCCCAACCTCATTGTCTGCCACATATTTTGTCTTCGGATCGAATCGCGAAGGAAACCACCTCCTTGTCCTCGCCCAAACCGCTCATAAGAATTCCACCTTTTGTTTCCGCCCTCTGCCGTTTGATCGCCCCTCGCCTTCCGGACTCGACCCCGTTTGACCTCGCTGCCCGCCCCTTCGAACAACATCTCGCCCACCAAAACACACAGCTCATTTGGGTTCTGCCTCTCCATCGTTGAATGGCAACCTTGAAATATTCACAATCGATCGGTGAGCCAATACTCTCACACGTCACAGGCATATCCCACTCCGCGGACTTCCTCAGGGTAGGCGGAGGTTCCCTCGAGACACATGCCGCCTCCCAGAACAAGAGCGGAGGTTCAAGCCCAGAAACAAAAGGAGAAGCTTGCCCAGTCCTACAATGAGTTACTAAAGTAAGACCCGCCTTCATCTATCCCTATAGCGCCTTCGCAAAGACTGTCACTAACCACTATCCCCACCACTTAGAGAATTCTCCTCGAAAGACCTCCGACATGTTGGAAACTATACACTGGGCAGATTGATTGGAAAGGGCTCCTTTGGAAAAGTTTACCTTGCTTCGCATAAGCTTACCAACCACTCGAAAGTACACTATTGCCTTGATTTCGATCGGCTGTCGAGGACTTTGCTGATTACGTGTAGGTCGTGCTCAAATCGTCGGACAAGGAGGATACAAATCTAGCTCGAGAGATCCATCACCATCGCCAATTTCTCCATCCTCATATTGCGCGACTTTACGAAGTGATTGTGACTGAAAAGCTTGTTTGGCTGGTACTTGAATATTGTCCAGGTATGAACCGCATTTGGATGACTCGGCCGTTGAACCATCTAATACATAGCAGGTGACGAACTGTACAACTATCTTCTACGAAATGGCCCGCTACCCATCGACAAGGTTAAAAAGATCTTCACCCAACTCGTTGGGGCCGTATCCTACGTTCACAGCAAATCGTGTGTTCACCGAGATCTGAAGCTAGAGAACATCCTCCTGGACAAGCACGAAAATGTGAAGCTCTGTGATTTCGGTTTCACTAGGGAATATGAGGGCAAAGCGAGCTATCTTCAAACTTTCTGCGGCACCGTATGCTACAGCGCGCCTGAAATGCTAAAAGCTGAGAAATACGCCGGGGAAAAGGTGGACGTTTGGAGCTTGGGCATTATACTTTACGCGCTTATTGGAGGAGAGCTTCCGTTCGATGATGATGACGACCAGGTTACTAAGTCACGGATCCTGAGCGAGGAGCCGGCCTTCAATGACAAGTTCCCCGACGATGCCAAGGCTCTCATCAACTTGCTTCTTTCAAAACGACCCCTTCTTCGACCTAGTCTAAATGACGTTCTAGCACATTCATTCCTTTCTGAGCACGCTCCTGAGCAGCTAGCAATCCTGAAGCTTCCCCGTCCACCGCCATTCTCGACACCCTTGGAAAAGACTACCTTACAACGAATGAAAAGCGCAGGAATTAATGTCGACGAGGTGACGGACAGTGTCCTTGCTCAACGCTGTGACGCCCTAGCCGGTTGGTGGGCTCTTTTGATAGAGAAAGAGCAGCGGAAAGAGGCCAAGAGAGAACGGAAACGGAGAGAGCGTGATGCGGAAGCAAAGAATATCCGACGTCTAAGTGCAGCAAGCAGCCGCCTGGAAAAAATATCTGCTGCACTAGTTGAAGTGGATGAAGAGGGTCATTCAACTGTTCCGGTTCATGAGCGTGGACGTAGGGATCGCCGAAGCTTACCTTCGCAGCTCGCTGTTCCTGAGTTGCCAATGCTTCCGGAGCCACCTCTACAGGCTTCACCACTTGCCACACCAACCCCCCCTCCAGCCGACAAAGACTCAATCCGCTCCAATAGCTCCACCCGCCGTCGCCCCCCAGTGCCACCACCCAAAGATCGGAGGCGTTCACGTCCAAGCGCATTGCATGTCAGCGCATCTCAGCCAGAGTTGGCACAGCATGGTGGAATTTTCAGGCGCCGCACCAATCGTCGCCAGTACCCCATTATCAGTCAGTTGGCTTCATTGAAGCATTGGTTTGTGGAATCTGCGAAAAGGGCAAAATCACCCCATCCAAAGTCGTCGGGTGGGACGTCGTCTCGCAAGTTTCTCTCCGAGAAGCTAAGTCCTGCAAAGGGCCAGGAAGGGACGAAGAAGACTACCTTGACAACTTCAACTCCAAGCCAGCCAAATGAGCTCACGACTCCAACCCAGATAAAACGTGCATCCAATGCAAGCAGTCTGGCCCCAAGTAGCGCATCTTACCCCAATCGTCGTCACTCTTACCCTCGGCAACCCCGGCCAGTAAGTACCAGCCATGCGAGTCATCGGAACTCATTATCTCCATCCCCGATCACCCCGAGAGGCTCGTATCGGCGATCTTCAGCTGGCCTACGGGGTCGCAAATCAACATCTTCATCAGTCTCGTCCATTCGAAGCATCCACCATGGTCACTCCCATTCGAAAGCTTCATCAATATCCTCCAACAGTATCGGCTCTGCATCAACACCCACGGCTCGGACTGCGAAGTCTCCTCACACCTCGGTCAAGGTGCTTCCTACGACCCCCGGTGCATCCGCGCGCTTTCCTTCCAACATCCGACTGGTTCGAAATCCCAACAATGGGTTCCGGGACGTGGATGATTCCGACAGTATAGCTAATTCGTCATTCAACGAAGCTGCCCCTGCGCCGATGTTGTATTCTCCATCCTCAAGCCTTGTTTTTGCACGGCGGAAAAGGACTACCTTCAAGGGCCCAATGGTGCACACAGCTAACTTGATGGTGTCCGGTGGAATGGGTGCATCAGAATATCCAAACGAAGAAGCCAAGGTTGATGGAGCTTCCCTTAAAGCTGCTCGACCAGCGACACGGAAGAGCCAAATAATTGAGGAAGAAGAGGACGCAGAGGACGAATACGAAGAAGTAGATACATTTACTGGAACGGAGGAAGAGCCGGCTTCGCCGATTGGCATGGCTAGCTCAGAACACCAAACCTCCGACAATCCACCCGGACGCAACCAGCCTATTCTTGAGCCTGCTCCCGAGCTTGACTCAAGCCCTCTTCGGCCTCCGCGCTCCTCCTCGCTCAGAGCAAAGTCACTAGACCCCATAGTCGGGTCAAGCAATGCTGACAAGACTGCTATGAATACATCTCCAAAATCAGTGGTCTCCGGGAAACGCAGCTTGAATCCCACCGACGAAACCCCGACTGCGAAATAGAGCCTCATGCTCCCAAGTACTCCGTCAGTATTGTTAGCCATTCGTTTTGCACTATATACCCCCTTTGCGGCTGTTGTTTTTTCTTTGTCTTTTTTTTTGGCCCTCCTTGCATTTATGAGCTGCGCAAATGATAATGGGCCCGTCTTTTCAAACACGTTGGTAGTACACGTCTCTCATTATTTACTCTTTTTCTGCCTCTTATTTTGCGCTTCATCATTGGAGCCAGTACATGGCCTCTACCACCATATACCCCTCGGTTTCCTCATTGTATTCTATCATCGGATTTTGAACATCTCAGAGTGTGCCCATGTACTAGTGCCTATCTTCTCACTTGTCTTATTTCTGGAGATTCCTTTGGCCTATTCCAGCCGTGATTCCAAGCATACCTTGTTGCCCGGCATCTGTGAAAGCAATGCTGCTCAAGGCTGGTCCTAGAGAAGGCACAAGGCATAACACCTGTAGCAGTTTATCTGTTTATTCTGCCGTTTACATAGATTTAGAACTGGGCCTTTGGTTTTCATGTTGAGTATACTAAGCAGATATTTTCTAGCTATTAATGTTATAGAGACTTTGAACGGGGAGTGGTGAAGACCTCGGAATGAGAAAAAGAGCAGACTAAGCCATCCAGAGCTCGCGGGAGTCATCAGCCTTGGATCTAGGTAGCCTTTGGCCTGTCGTTGACCTCATTAGAGGTACCTGCCTGGGAAGACGGCTGGATGTTAAAGCGGCAAGAGATTCTTGGGCGATGTCGAACGCTGGGCATAGATCGCGGGCTGCTTTCTAGGTCAATTAACTAGGCAAAAGATACAGAGCATTAACCTCCCTCTCTGGCTCCATTTATTTGAGCGAATAAACGAGTGTTATCCTCCAAGCACTTACAGGCCCCTAGACGTTTGCTGGAGCTGCCTTCCTCCTTCATCCATTCATCCATCCGCATCCCTTTTTCTTTGATTAATCTTTTTCTTCTGTCGTATATAACTACACCACACCGTATACGTATCTTTATCCATTCTACCTCGACCGGCGCTCAACTTACATCCGGGCGCCATTTACCAACATGGCTTTCGCCACGATAAACTCCGCACCTCCGACACATAGTATTCCCCCAGCACAAACACACACCCAAATCCCAGCAATTGAAGATGCCTTTGGTGCCGAACCCGCGCTGAAGAAACGAGTTTACGATGCGATCGGTGCGTAACTTTCTCCCAAACCCGCGTGTCAGCAACATGATCTAATTGTGTTCTTTCCAGGGTCAACCCCTCAATATGTCCCTCTTTTCGAAGATATCGCTCGGTATACCTCTAGCCTACGGACGAGAAGCGCGAACCCCGTTCAACCCATCGAGGTTGTCAACGACGAGCCGGTCGCCAAAAAAAGGAAGATCGAGAATGGTACCTCGGGAGCTGGGACTGGGGCCACTCAATCGCTGGCCGATCTGAAAACACACAAGGCTCTGCAGTTCTACATGCAGGATGTATCTTTCGCGATTCCGCAAAGGAAAAAGTTGACGCTGGAGCTCACGGCAGGGAACAAGTATCTGCGAGCTCGGAACCAGACGTCCAAGGAGGTGGAATTCGGTGTCCCGCTGGATAGAATTCGTATGATAATCCCCAGGTTCCTTTTCCCTGGGGTTAAACCTGCTAATGCTGTGCAGAACATGTTTTGTGTCTCCCCGTCCCCGAAAAGAACCATAAACAATTCAACTTTTGCATCATTCCCCAGTTCGCCGATGGAATAAACCCACCTCCTGAAGGCGAATCTACGCCCGAGACAATTGTGTGGACGGTTAACGACGGGCCTGCTAAATCTGCGTTTTCGGGACAGGGCCAGCAGATTGGGAATGGGGAAGGCGAGACGGCCGAGGCTCTTGTTCGCAAGGTGCTAAATGACGATCTGTCGCATATACAAGTGGTGCGCCCGGATGCGCGGGAGTTTGCCAGCGCGATACCGGAGGCACATAGGAAGGGAGAAAAGGCGTACCATGTCAAGGCATTCCGTGGTAGCAAGGATGGTACGAAGTTCTTGCAAAATTAATTGATGAGGCCATTAACTGATTTCACTCCCGCTTAGGTTATCTATTCCTCCTGTCTACCGGTATATTCTTCGGTTTCAAGAAACCGTTGCTTTTCTTCGCATTCGAGAACGTTGATTCGATTTCTTATACCTCTGTCCTCCAGCGAACGTTCAACTTGAATGTCGTGGCGCGCGCTATTGACAGCGAGGCAACGCAGGAATTTGAGTTCTCCATGATCGACCAGGCGGATTTCTCCGGTATTGATGCTTACATCAAAACACACGGCCTACAGGACGCTAGTCTCGCGGATGCTCGACGCGCGAAACGCTACAATATCAACGGCGCGAAGACGGAAGAAAACACCGAGGCTGACGCGCAAGACGCTGAGGAAAGTGAACTACAAAAGGCACATCGCGAGCTAGAAGACCAAGAAGACGAGGATGAAGAGGATTACGACCCCGGCAGCGATGGCGAGAGCGAAGGAAGCGGCTCTAGTAGTGAGGAAGACGGTGACCAGGATGAAGGTCAAGAAGATGCGGATGTCGAAGACGAGAACATAGTGGCGGACGAACTCGGGAGCGAAGCGGAAAACGTCTCGGAGGATGAGTTGTAACTTGTAAATTGCAGTGTACATTTATATGCATGAGGTGCATGCTGTCAGCTCTTTACCGTCATGCTGTCCTAGATTCAGCCGTTAGAGCCGACATGTGTGTTCGAAGCTTGTCAATCCGCTGGCAGGGTCCTGCTCTTAGCCTGTTGGTTTTCCGTTGGCCGGAGATGGGGCCATCTAATCCATATCTCTGGGCAGTGAGCAATCTCCACGTAGTCTAAACAATGGACAACGAGTCATCTACCCGTCCACGGCACAAGGAGCCACAGCGGTAACAATAAATGGGACGTGATGCCGGCGAGCTGACATCTCTCCTCCATACACAACTCGTCAGAATGCAGTTTCAAACTCAGAGAAGTCGTACAAAATCTCCCAAAACAAATGCCCAATTGGGCGCACCATCAAACAGTGGGTCAGTTCCTGTAGACGTGTCAGATGGAGAACCAAAGCCCTGCGGGGAGGACGTAGGGGGGGCGATGGGCGATGTATGTGTCTGTATGCAAATGGAGTTGAAGCAGGTACGCCTGTCAGCTTTGCAATGTGCTCCGTACCTGAATCTTGAACCTGCTGGAGGATCAATGATATCGCCAAAGACAACCCGCGATCAATAATTCAATCAAGGCATTAGGGACGGGAATCAAGATTAACTATGGAGACCCAGCCGGGCGATGATGCCAAACGACCGTCAGTCGCCCGTAAACGGGTTACCATTTCTTACCAGGGAAGGGCTAAACCACTACTCAAATAACATGGAATCACGACCCCTAGCGGTATCGTTTGGTAATGGGCGTTCCACGGCGAATCTGGCCATTTGAGTGCAGCTCTCACTGGTCAGGGGCAGCGTGCTAAGAAAAGAAAAAACTCGTCTCCAGGTGTCAAAGGGTCGAAGCTGTCCCAGGTGCACTGCTGAGTTTTCCCGGGTTTGGTCCGGATCGTAATTGGCAGATTGACGCATTCCAATCTGAGTCAATTCAGCAAGGCTCTCCTGTGATAGTCACCACAGTAACCCGTGGACAGCACAGATCCAGCATCCCTTACACTGGCTGGGCTCCAGGAGAATAATATGGCTTGAACTGATCATCCACCAGGCAGAGCGATTATTCCTGACAACCGAGAGCTTATTGCCAAGATCGTCATCAACTGGGCTAATTGGAGAAAAGCTTCTGATCGAGCCAACACCGCTTGTCCGCTTTTCGCTCAACGCCGACAGGGCACTGCCGGCGACGAGGCGAATTGTTTGATCCCGCCGCTGCCAACACATTCTTCTCTGTCGTAGAATTTGATGCGGTCAAGGGCTGCTCCTAATTGTCAGAGTGACAACGGTCGCTGGCATGCAATCTAAATCACAGACTGTTAATATTGTAGCTGCAGTACCCCTGCACGGCAAATTGAGTGATACCTAATACCAAAGTTACCGTACGGCGCGAGAAAACCAGGGCAAAACAGCGCAGCCCGGTCGGGTACTGGTGTCTCGCCCGTACCAGCCTGTCCACGGCAGCATCCCGGGCGTCCTCATTCCTCTCCTGCTCTCGCTCTCGCCTCTCGCCCTTTCGCCTCTCCCTCACGGATTCTCTTGTCACTCCGCCTCGTTTTCCTTTTCCTGCATCGGTCGTCTGAGGTCTCCTCTCCCCCTACCCACTCACCGTCCTCCGTCGATCTCCATCGACCTCCCTCTTCTGCTTCTCCTCTCTTTTCCCTTCATACCTACTACCTCTCCTCTCCTTATCCGCCTTCGGCCTCTATCCAACCACTGCTAGCTGCAGTTTTCCACTGCCGCGCAGTTGGTGCAGATTACTAGGAGCTTCCTCCGTTTAGAATCTGCCACTCCTCTTTATCCTCTCCATCCTGGGGAATTGCCATCCGACACCTCGGCCGCACCCTGAATCGAGCCCTCGAACTGACTCCCGAAAGAGTCCTCGATTAGCTTCACCGTCCTCTCCCGTTTCATCGGCTTTGTTTCCCTTCTATTTTGTCCATCGAGTATACCTCGCGTTACCGGTCATTGTTCGCTTTCGGTGTCGCCGAGTCCCTGTCTCTTATACCGTCTACACTTTGGGTTATTGCATGAATGGTATAGCATAGTACATCTCGGACGTCTCTGTAAGACATACCTTTGATCCATATCCCCTACTTCATATCGCCAGTGCGGTCGGCTTTGTTTTTCCTCTCCTCTAACAATAGCCAGCCTTCACGTGTTTGCACCCCCCGTCGAGTCTCCCGCACGCTCGTCCACCGTCAAGGTCTTTTGGCTCGCATCGCCCGCGCAGACATGGCTTCCTCGTCGTCCAACGTGGTGGGTGTCCACTACAGAGTAGGAAAGAAAATTGGTGAGGGTTCTTTTGGTGTGATTTTCGAGGGGACAAATCTCCTGAACAACCAGCAAGTTGCTATTAAATTTGTGGGTTTTGCTCAACCTCCGATGTAGGTTACTCAGTGGCTAATGGTACCAGGAACCTCGGAAAAGCGATGCTCCCCAGTTACGGGATGAATATCGGACTTACAAGATCTTGGTTGGATGCCGTAAGTCTCTCTCTGCGAGCCGATAAGGGATCGGGTAACTGACTTGACTAGCTGGCATCCCCAATGTCTACTACTTTGGTCAGGAGGGCCTGCATAATATTCTAGTGATCGACTTGCTCGGTCCTAGTCTTGAGGACCTCTTCGACCATTGCAATCGACGATTCTCCGTCAAGACTGTGGTTATGGTTGCTAAACAAATGGTAAGTTTCTCTCTATTCCAGTTCTATACCCAAATCCTTCTTTCTAACAATAGTAGCTCTCCCGCGTTCAAACAATCCACGAAAAGAACCTGATCTACCGTGATATCAAGCCCGACAACTTCCTCATCGGTCGCCCGAACTCCAAGGCCGCCAATGTAATCCACGTCGTTGACTTTGGAATGGCCAAGCAATATCGGGATCCTAAAACGAAGCAACATATCCCATACCGTGAGCGGAAGTCGCTGTCCGGTACAGCGCGCTACATGAGTATCAACACCCATCTGGGACGCGAGCAGTCACGACGAGACGATCTTGAGGCCTTGGGCCATGTGTTTATGTACTTCCTTCGAGGTGGCCTGCCGTGGCAGGGCCTGAAGGCTGCCACCAACAAGCAGAAATATGAAAAGATCGGGGAGAAGAAACAGACTACCGCGATCAAGGAGCTCTGCGAAGGATTTCCAGGTGGGTCCTTACCATTATTTAACCTAGGTATTGAACATACTAATGGGGTTTAGAAGAATTCAACAAATACCTGAGTTATGTCCGCAACCTTGGTTTCGAAGATACACCCGACTACGACTACCTGCGGGATCTGCTCACCCAGGCTCTCAAGAACGCTGGGGAAATCGAAGATGGCGAGTACGACTGGATGAAATTGAACAATGGTAGAGGGTGGGAGTACAAATCGTATTCATCTCAACAGGCCCTTCATAACTCAGCCCTTCCTACCTCTGCCAGGGACCTCCATGGCCAGCAAATTCGCAACAGCCAAAGGCCCGGCGTGACCGCAGACCGTTTAAACGCCGCGCAGCCCCCGCCCCCCTCTCCAGCGAAACCCGGAGTCGGGAAGACGCGCGAGCAGCAAAACGTCCGAGGCGGCATCCCGCCGAAACGCCAGAGCGGGGGGTTCGACGCGACACCAGCAGCGTCGACAGTAGCGCAGTTCCAAAACTCAAACGCAAATATCTCGGGTCGGGTCGGCAGCCCAGCGAACCCGTCGAAGACTCAGCCAGCCCAGGGAGCCCAGCAGGCGAGCAATGAGCCGCAGCCCACCTTTGTTCAGAAGGTGATGAAAGCATTATGCTGCGGTAGGTGATCGTTCTACTCCCCTCAAATGTGTCACGCCTGCTCATCTAAGTGAAGGTTGAAAGGTTGACACCTCTGTTCTGAGTACGAATCTGTAATTCTACATAATATCCTTGTCATGCAGGGTCTTGGGCCTGCATTCCTTGTCTTGTTTAGGGGTTGGAGGGCGCCATGGTCTATACTGTCATAACTTGACTCGCCGCCATTGTTTCTTGCCGAGCCGAAGATAGGAGAAACTCGCGGATCCTGGTGGCAGATGGACACTATGTGGAATGGGGCGGGTATATCTTCTCTATGTTTCTCACCGACAAGCCCGTTGAGCAATTGCTCCACCCTCCTTGTTTCGTTACCCTACTCATCAAGGCCCCTTGGATTCTGACGCGGGCTGGACCTCTCGGAGCGGACCCTCCTTCACCTTCTACATATTCTCGTCATTATGCTCCCCTACACTACACTCGTTATGGTGCTACGGCTTTGGAACGGCGAATTTGAGCTTTCTGTTTCTGCGTCTTTTGGTTGTCTTATTCGTGCACTGCTTTATCCCGCATTTCTGGCATGGGCCATTTAATTCTAGATTTCGTCTTGTTTCTGAGTATATGACAACCGCACGAGTTGCTGACAATTCTCGCGGGTCACCTTTGATATTGCCTGTCCGGTTATCCTGCGGCTTTGACTGGTCGTTGTGGTGAGATTAATGATGGCAGAAAGGGCGTTTTGGCATCCAATGGATACAAGCTCGCGCGTTATCTGGGTAGTCTGCCTATCTATGTGGCATTTTTAGCATATAAATGTTGTCCTATGCCCTGTCAATACCTGCAGGATTGTTCTCATCAACCAAGGAGTTTGCAAAGGGTTCTGCTTCGCTTCGCTTCTGCTCTGTTCTTGCTTGTCTAGCAGTACCACTCACGCAGCCTTGCCTTGTTTCCCAATCTTGCTATTGTACTTTCTGCTACATCTCGTTATCGCCTGTCTTGTTCAATTCAATGAGCGCATCCCAGAAGAGTTACTTGCCTACCAGACTTCCCCTGCCCTCTCTGCCCATCTTCGTGTTGAGTAGGCCTTTGTCATTCTAGTTGACACTCGTGCCTACTCTGCTGTTTACACTTGTACATTGGCTATCGCAGCGAGTCGGTTAGCTTTAGGTTCCGCAGTATTGTTCGGTATATATGGGCTGGGGAGGGCATTGTATAGAGTAATTGATATTATACATATTTCCGCTCAGAGTTGGACTTACGATACGTAGAGCCATTAGACAATGTGCTTTCGATGGAGTAGTACCATTTCTCCATGGTCTCTCATATGAAATGCAGTATTTATTGTTATTTAGATGGGGAATAATATTTTATCATTGCCACTGCATTTGTTGTTCACCCTTATCACGAATGGGTCGATAGCGTTTTTGCCGCTGTAGAATATATATAAATACCAGCATTGCCTAGATGGTGTTGTAGAGATATATATAGCATACCTGACAAGACGCAGGATTTCATTACGTAGGCGAAAGCTTCTAACCA